CCCACCCTGCCTACCCGCCATCCCACCCTGCCTGTGTTAGGGTTTGGGGGTGGCAAGTAGGGGGTGGCGAGTATGGGGGTGGCACTTCTTCATTCCTCCCTTTGCTCCTCCTCCTCCTTCGTCTCCCACTGCTGCAGCTGTCGCTGAGGGGGGTGGATGTGTGGGAGACTGGGATTTAGGGTTTAAGGGGGGTGCGTGGGAGTGGAGCTAGCGGTGTAGCAGCGGGTGTGTGCCAGGGGGAGTGGGATAGTTTGGGGAAGCTGTACGGAGGTTGCCGTCGTGTCGCCATCAGCACCTGTATTCCGGGGACTTCGTCCGGTAGCCCAGTCGTAGCCAGCTGTGCCAGCCGCCCGTGGGTCCGTTGCTCGTCTGCCGCTACTTTAGCCGCGGGGCCTGTTACTCCTGTATTCCGGGGACTTCGCCCGGTAGCCGCTGTGCCAGTCTGCCTCCTGTTGCCCGTGTGTCTGCAGCTTCAGCCGTCGCCTCCTATCTCCTCTCCCCTCACTCTCTCTCCTCCTCCTCACTTGCCCATTGTGACTACCACTAGCTTTGCTCATAATTGTGAACTCTAAACTATTGCTTCTTGAACTTGTGCTCAGAATGTATGGTGACATTGTGATCCACCCTGAGCTTGTACTGCTTTGCTTGCTCTGCTGATTACACCCCACTTTGGCTATGGGGGTGTGTCAGAATGTGATCTTATGCTCTAGCCTGTAGTGGGGTGCTCTATAGCGAGTACAACCCTTCTAGGGTTTGCTATTTGTATCCTCATTCCTGCTAGTTCAACCCTCTTCTTTCTTCTAAACTTTAACACGGCGAACGTGGGGGGTGCCGATCGCTCCGTGCCGAATGTACGGTTCGGCGTGAACCGTCGTGTTTCGGGTTGACCTCGAGTCAGCGCGTCGTATCGCTCGGCAGCACGCACGATGTCTCTGTAGCTGTTGTAATTCGCCGCAATCACCTGCCGCCGAATCTCCATTTTTAACCCTTCGGTGTACGCCTGGATTTTTTCGCCTTCGGTCAGGTCGGTGATGCGGTTGAACAGTAACTCCATCTACTGCGTGCTACACGACTGTATTGCTTGTGTCGGTGTATTTGGTGCCGTGCCATGTAGGTCGTATTAATTGGTTCGAAACGCTCGATTAAATCTGCCCGAAACTGCTGCCACGTTTTCTCCCCGCGGGCTACGTCGGTGTAGTAAATCCATTCGAGAGCCGGTCCACGTAACAGTGTCGCTGCGAGCCAAATCTTTGATGCGTCGTGTTGCGGGGTCGAACAGCCAATGGCCTCGAAGTAAATTTCGAGGGTGACCACGAATTGCCGGACGTCGGATCCCTTCGCGCTTGGATCGAACGCCTCCGTGAGCCTTGGTCGTGCTGCTTCGAGGTTCAGCGACAGTGGTGCCATTGGTCCGTGAAATGTCGATGTCGCCACTGCTGCTGGAGTTGTAGGTGCTGCAGTCGCTGCGGTCGCTACTGCTACGGTGGCGAACCCTGGTTGGCTTGTCAGAAAAGCCTCGAGTCGACGTAGCGACGCCTGCGTCTGCTCCATGTCGGTGCGGAGGCTCGCAATGTCGCTCGTAGCCGCGTAGTTGTCACCTTGGCCCTCCATGCCTGACATCAACGCGTCCGAAAAACCGAATCGAGGGGGAGCGAAAAACACGGAACCGGTTTTACGTACCCGAAATCGATGTTTGACTGCGTCGCCCCCGCGGTTTTTTTAAGACTGGTTTTAACGGTCGAAAGAACTTCGCGTGTAAACGGGCTCTGGTTACCAAGTGTGAGGATCTAGGATCGAGCTCAGAAAAGAGAATTTGAATTGAATGAATCACCTGGGTACAACACGAGGCTATATATAGGCTCGAAACTGTCAGAATGAATCACCTGGGTGCTGCTGGAGGTGCTGCTGGAGGTGCTGCTGGAGCGGTTACTCCTGCTGGGGGTACTGGTGCTGTCCCTGCTGATTCTGGCGTCGCCACCCGGCCCCGACCGTACTTCGTTCCGCTCCTGCAGCAGGTTCTTGGTCTTACACCTTCTCCTGGTCCTCCTCCGCCTCCCTTAGAGGGTCTACAGCCTGTCCAGTCCCAGTCACAGCTACAGCCTGCCTCCCCTTTGCCTGCTCCTTCTCCCTACGCTGGTCCGACTGGAGGCCTTACTGAAGCGTCGTGAGCCTGCGTCTCATCCTGCGTCGCCTGCTCGTCCTGCACGCACTAGTGGTCGCGGTTCGCGTCAGCGTCCTCCTCCTGTCCCTGGCACGCACCGGATGTCTCTGCGTCCATCCACTGCTCCTCTGCGTGCCCCTTTGCCTTCTCCTCCTGAGTCCTCTCTTCCTGCTCTTGCCGACCCGGAGTCGGACTCTCTTCGTGCTGCCAGTCCCACTGTCACGCGTCTCCTTGCTACTGCTGTCACTGACCCTTCCTTTGAGTCTTCTGCTGCGTCTGCCCTTGTCACTGAGCTTGTCGACTTTGCTGCGCGCTGTCGTCTAGACTACGCTGCTAGTCTTGTCGCTGAGTCTGAGTCTGCCTGTCCTCCGTCCGTCGGGGGTGAGTGTGCCCTAGGCACGGACGTCCTTGAGGACAGGCAGGAGGAGTTCCAGTGTCTGGCCGCCGCTTCACCTCATCTCGCGTCTGTACTGCTCGCCCATGAGGGAGACCCGGATGCACTAGACATCCCGACTCCGCGCTCTTACGCGGAGGCGATAGAGGGTCCCTACTCCTCTCAGTGGCACGCAGCTATGGATGCACAGATGGCTTCCTGGAAGTCCACAGGCACCAACGTTGACGCTGTTCCCCCTCCTGGGGCGAACATCGTCAGTGGCATGTGGATTTTCAGGGTGAAGCGGCCGCCGGGTTCTCCGCCTGTCTTCAAGGCGCGTTACGTGGCTCGTGGCTTCAGTCAGCGGCAGGGAGTTGACTACTTTCAGACCTTCTCCCCCACCCCGAAGATGACCACTCTTCGGGTACTGCTGCACGTTGCTGCTCACCGTGACTACGAGCTGCACTCTCTCGACTTCAGCACTGCTTTCTTGCAGGGCAGCCTGCACGAGGAGATCTGGCTGCGTCGCCCGCCTGGCTTCACTGGGTCTTTCCCTCCTGGTACCCAGTGGAGTCTCCGGCGTCCAGTCTACGGTCTCCGCCAGGCGCCACGTGAGTGGCACGACACACTGAGGACTACGCTGGCGGCACTTGGGTTTGCTCCTTCTACTGCCGACCCGTCGCTGTTTCTGCGCACCGACACCTCTCTGCCGCCGTTCTACATCCTCGTGTACGTCGACGACTTGGTCTTTGCCACAGCTGACACTGCTGGACTCGCCCACGTGAAGTCCGAGCTGCAGAAGAGACACACGTGCACTGACCTGGGTGAACTGCGCAGCTACCTTGGCTTGCAGATCACCCGGGACAGAGCACGCCGCACCATTTCCCTGACTCAGTCACACATGGTGCAGCAGGTCCTTCAGCGCTTCGGCTTCACGTACTCCTCGCCTCAGGCCACTCCTCTGCCTACTCGTCACTCGCTCTCAGCTCTGCCTTCGGATGAGTCCGTAGAGTCGAGTGGCCCGTATGCAGAGCTTGTTGGCTGCCTCATGTACCTGATGACCTGCACACGACCTGACCTTGCATACCCTCTTAGCATTCTCGCACGCTATGTTGCTCCTGGGAGACACCGACCAGAGCACATGGCTGCAGCGAAGAGGGTGTTGCGCTACTTGTGCAGTACGTCGGGCTTGGGGCTAGTGCTTGGAGGGCGCAGTCCAGTGGTCCTCACAGGGCACGCGGACGCTTCTTGGGCTGACGACCAGGCTACGCAGCGGTCGTCACAGGGTTACACCTTCAGCCTTGGTTCCGGCTCTGTTTCGTGGCGGGCTACCCGCTCGTCTTCTGTTCTCGGCTCCAGTTGTGAGGCTGAGATCTACGCCGGGGCTATGGCTGCTCAGGAGCTTCGCTGGCTCACCTACCTGCTGAGCGACCTTGGAGAGCCGCCTCGTTCTCCTCCAGTCCTGTACGTAGACAACAAGGCCATGCTGGCCTTGTGTCGAGAGCAGCGACTGGAGCACAGGACAAAGCACATTGCTCTCCGCTACTTTCTTGCTCGTGAGCTACAGCAGCGTGGACAGTTGCGACTTGCGTACGTGGCCTCTGAGGCCAACACTGCTGATGTCTTCACCAAGGCACTTGCGCCTTGTGATCATCAGCGTTGCTGCACGCAGCTGGGTCTTGTGCCTGTCTTGCCTCACTTGCTCACTTCTTGACCTTGCTTGTACCTTGACCTATATATACTCTTGCTCTTGTTTTGCTTGACTCTTGTATATCTATATATATGATCTTGCATGTGAACTGGCCTTGTGGCCCTTGAACTTGTGCTCGGAATGTGTGGTGACTTTGTGATCCACCCTGAGCTTTGATTTGCTTTGCTTGACTGGTCTTGTGACCCCTTGTTCTCCCCCACTTTGCCTATGGGGGTGTGTCAGAACATTATAGCTTACTTATTTGTGTAGGCTATAGTGGGGTATCCCATAGGGGGTACAACCCAATTAGGGTTTCATATTTGTACTCACTTCATTCATAGTTGATTCATCCTCGTTCTTTCTTTCACAGACACAAGGCCCCGTAACCAGGTTTTACGCGAAGGTTCCGCGGGTCGCGAAGCGTCCCGAACAGATCCTTACCGAATTCGGTAGAAGGCAATTCAGTGGCAACCGAAAAGCCAGAATTCGGTGCACGCAACCTAGCTCGGTGCTATAACTATAATAAAATATAGGAAAGAACCTAGCCTAGGAAAGCAAGCAATTCATGCATGCATATAATTATCCTATGCTAGAAATAGTATAATAAAGTAAAGGCAAGCAAGCATAGCTGGCATAAGCCGTCGTACTCTCACAGCACTGAAGGCCTCGCGTAGCTCGTTGATCTTTGAGGTCTAACTCGCCAGCTGATGAACGTGCTCGCGCGCATCATGCTTCATGTTTTTAAGCTCAACTTCCAGGTACTTGATTTTGTCGTCCTAGTTAGAGAGCTCCCTCGTGAGGTTGGTGATGAGTGAGTGCTGCTGTTGGATGCGCGTATCCTGCTCAACAGCATGATCCTGCAGCTTAGCAATTTCAGCATGCAGAATGTCCTCCTCCCTTTCCAACTCAATGTCATCCTCCTGAGACTCCCCTTCCTGCTCCTTGGAATTTTCAGCAGCTGGAGGGTCCCTTGCAGGGGAGTCAACAGCAGGTTCCTTCTCAGCCATTTCCTCATCCATGTTGTTCAGGTCAATTTTTTGCACACAAGCTTCCAGTTCAGCATTGGAGTTGTTGCCTTCAACACCACCAGCATTGGAGTTGGTAGAAGCCATTGAGAGCAAAGTCACTGTATTATAAAAAAAAGAGTTACAGATCTACTGCAAATTGTTATCACCGAAGTGAATAACCAAGATTTTCTCCAAAGGAGAAATTTCTTCAATAGATCTTACAACCACAGCAATGTGAAAAACACCTCTGTTGCAAAATATCCTTACCACCGCAGTGGATAAGGCAAGAACAATCACAAAGTGATTGTCTTCAACAGAGAATGTTAATTCACACAGGTTGCAACTTCTTCACAGTAGCTCCAATGGTTCCACCAGTAGGGAGGGAGGGAGGGCTTAGAACTCTTGGAGAAGCTTGTAGATCTTGAAAACTGAAGCTTGAGTAGCTTGTAGTCTTCACAAGTTTATAATATGGAGATTACAATGAAAATCACAACTCCTCCAAGAAAAAGAAAAAGAAAATCCTCCTAGATGCCCACAAGGCAAGGATCTACTAATAGCTCTGATTACCAATGTAACGGATCTAGTAAGAAAAAGGGCATTTACCCATATAATAATAGCTTCTAGTACAACCAGAGAGTAACAGCTCCTGGAAATGACTAAGTCTAAGAGTTGCTGGGAAAATGCAGTAACAAATCTTGGAGGGTGAGTTGAGGAGAAGACAATCCTATTTCCCAATTGATTAGTTGGGAGTAGGAAATGAAGAATGAGCCAAGAGGCTTCAGACCCCTTCCCTAGACCCCCTTGGGGTGCAGCCACCTTCCCCATGGCAAGGAAGGGTGCACCACAATGGGCCTTGCCCATGTGGCAAAGGTGAATCCTTTTACTCAATGACATGGCACAAACAATGGCATAAAATGCTGTGTACGCAATATGTTATCCATACCTGTCATGTTATAACTGGTTGCAATTCCAACGCAAGAGTTGAGTTGGACTTCGAATGTTTGTGATTGGCTATATTTCCAACCAGCGGCGAGGGCCTTGTCGACTCACTTTGTATAAAAGTGTTCTGATTGGTTGGCTTGCCAACCAGTCCGTTTCCCTGCTTTTCAACCAGTTCATTTCCATGTCCTCTTCCCAACCCAGGTTCAATGTATCGAGACCCTGGGTTGGTTGGGTATCGAAATGTTACACGGGGAGGGCGTTTCAGAGCAAGAGCGTTGGCGACGAGCTGTGTGATGGGAAGGGAGAGAAGAACGGCGACAAGGGGGAGGCATTTCGGGGAGAGAGCTAAAGCCAACGAGTTGAGCGATGGGGCGACGACGCATCGAGGGTGACGGGAGGGGAGGGGAGAAAACGAGGTCGACATGAAGGGAGGGGGAAGAGCGAGGGCGACGAGGAGGGAGGGAAGAAAGAAAGGGCGACGGGGAGGAGGGGAGAGACCCGCGAAGGTGATGGGAGGGGAGCGGACAGCGGACGAATGACTGAAAGGTAGTGGAGATGCCCAAGGCGCGAGACAGGACACTAGCCGCTGCGGGAGGGTAACGATCGTTTGCGGAAGGGAATAAACTGACGATACTAAGCGACGTAACAATATTACGCATTCCTGCAGGGTCGATAGTCACTTATCCCGGCCACAAACACCTACTGTTGTCAGCTAAATTATGCTAGGGAAAAAACTAGTGAGTTCGGGATGAAGAGCAGCTAGTCATGAAACCCAATTCCAGCTTGAAACCAACGTTCGCCTGGCGATGGAAACCATCGCTGGGCAACAGTCGTGCAGGTGTAGCACGATGACATGCGACGGAGGAGATGCGCACGGAAACCTTTTTTGGCGGGAACAGAAAGAATCAAGATTGGCGAAAGCCAATCACATTTGTTCACAGTGCTGCTCTTTTTGTTAGGAACAGTGCTCCATCGGCCCCATCTCGGTAGCACCATTTCAAGTTGGGACAGGGTTCATTATTTTATATTTCGGTTTTAAAGCCAGCAGGCAAAATAGTGACCCCCCCCTTCTAGTTGGGTCCACTTGAAGATGAAGTATTTTTGTTTTGTTTTGGAATGTTGGAATTGCTGTATGTGTGCTTTTTTTTCCGACCCTCGGACGAGTTTCTTATTGGACCAGGAACGATAGTTCATTGTCAATTCTGATTGGCAGCCAGGTTCTCTCACATGTACATGTGCGAATTTGGCGCAAAGTTGAGCGACGAGCACTCCTGCATTCACTAGAGCCAATACTTCACCAAATTCACAACTAGCAACATCTCACGCTAAATCCCAAGCAGACACACATGTACGTGATGAGAGTGAAAGTGTTTGAACGTTATTAGAGCTAGTAGAGCTCTGATCAATGTGCTGCCTTGGACTTGAGGCCTGGGAGAGGTGCAATAACGGGAAACAGAAGAGAAAAACAGCACTAGGGGGGAAATTATGATGGGCAAGGTGACGCGAATGAAGGGAAAGAGGGAGGGCGACGGGAAACGGGAGGGCGACGGGAAGGGAGGGCGTAGGAAACGGGAGGGCGACGGAAGAAGGGGGGCGAAGGGGAACGGGAGGGCGACGGGAAACGGGAGGGCGACGGGAAACGCGAGGGCGACGGGAAACGGGAGGGCGACGGGAAACGGGAGGGCGACGGAAAACGGGAGGGCGACGGGAAACGGGAGGGCGGGAAACGCGAGGGCGACGGGAAAAGGGAGGGTGACGGAAGAAGGGAGGGCGACGGGAAACGGGAGGGCGACGGGAAACCGGAGGGCGACGGGAAACGGGAGGGCGACGGGAAACCGGAGGGCGACGGGAAACGCGAGGGCGACGGGAAACGGGAGGGCGACGGGAAAAGGGAGGGCGACGGGAAACGGGAGGGGGGCGGGAAACGGGAGGGCGACGGGAAACGGGAGGGCGACGGGAGAGAGGATAGGCGGCGGGAGAGAGGGTGTCGAGAATAGATGGAAAGACAGAAAAAAACAAACAAACCAAACACAATAACAGAGTACGGAAAGGGTCACGCTGACGCGATAGCAGAGGGAGAATGAGAGAGGCGACGGAGAAAGGAGGGCATACGTGATGGGAGAGTCGAAGGTCGCCGGGAGGGCTATTCGAGGCGAGCGAGAAGGGAGGATGGGAAGGGAGCAGAAAGAGAGAGGGCAATGGGAAGGGAGCGGAGAGAGAGAGCGCGACGGGAAGGGAGCGGAGAGAGAGAGAGAGAGAGAGAGAGAGAGAGAGAGAGAGAGAGAGAGAGAGAGAGAGAGAGAGAGAGAGAGAGAGAGAGAGAGAGAGAGAGCGCGATTCGAAGGGAGGAGCGAGAGAGAGGGCGGAGCGGAGAGAGAGAACGCGATGGGAAGGGAGGGGCGAGAGAGAGGGCGACGGGAAGGGCGCGGAGAGAGAGAGCGCGACGGGTAGGAGGGGCGAGAGAGAGGGCGACGGGAAGGGAGCGGAGAGAGAGATCGCGACGGGAAGGGAGGGGCGAGAGAGAGGGTGATGGGAAGGGAGCGGAGAGAGAGAGCGTGACGGGAAGGGAGGGGCGAGAGAGAGGGCGACGGGAAGGGAGCGGAGAGAGAGAGCGCGACGGGAAGGGAGGGGCGAGAGAGAGGGCGACGGGAAGGGAGCGGAGAGAGAGAGCGCGACGGGAAGGGAGCGGAGAGAGAGGCCGACGGTAAGGGAGCGGAGAGAGAGCGCGATTCGAAGGAGGAGCGAGAGAGAGGGCGGAACGGAGAGAGAGAGAGAGCGATGGGAAGGGAGGGGCGAGAGAGAGGGCGACGGGAAGGGCGCGGAGAGAGAGAGCACGACGGGAAGGGAGGGGCGAGAGAGAGGGCGACGGGAAGGGAGCGGAGAGAGAGAGCGCGACGGGGCGAGCGACGGGAGGGCGATCGGTAGGGAGGGGCGAGAGAGAGGCCGACGGGAGGAGAGGAGGGGAGAGAGGGCGACGAAGAGGGCGACGGGACGGGCGACGAGATGGCGACGTGACGCGCGACGGAAAGGGAGACGGGTGGGCGATTTGGCGAACTCGAGGATAGCATAGTGGGTGATGAGAGGGGTGAGAGGAATGGCGACGGGAATGGGGTTCTCTGTGATCGCGAGGAAAATATCACTACGCAGCAACGGCGACGAAGTATCACAAACAATCTAATGATAATTTCATTTCTATGCCGCATCAGCCTAATCCCTCGTCTCTGGCTATTCTATGCTAGGCAAGCTCCGTGAGTTAGGCAAGCTACGGTACGTGAATGGAGTTGAAGTAAGCATATGTGGAACCCAGGCCCAGCTTGAAAGTCGAAGTCGGGTCCAACCATCAAAACGCACGACAAACAACTGTCGTGCAAATGTCGCATGCAGAAAATGCGAACGCGCGAGCACGATCTGATTTTTTTTTTTTGGCGGGAACGAATCACGTGTGTTCAGTCTGTGGAAGGGCGATGCCCGGAACAGTGTTTTACACAGCCCATCGTCGTTCCAGTTTTGCTTCTTCTGAGCACGATTTCAAGTTGGATCCGCCTTCACTATTTTATATTTCGGTTTTAACAGCAACTTCAAAACTGTTTTCCTTCGCATGAAGGATACTTGTTTATAATGTTGGTTGATTGACACACCTTGCTGTTCAGTGGCAAGATTCCCTCAGCAGGCTTGGTTGGGTTCCTATAGCATTGTCCCAGTATTTCCTAAAAGGATCCTTCTTCCTACCCCATCCATCCATGTAGAGCAGAGCAAGGTTTCTTGGGGCAACAAAGCCCATGCCCACCTTTCAGCCCAATGTTCCCATCCCACTCATCCACCCCATCCGTATCCTGTGCTCCTCCTTAATCAAAGAAACATCTCGTGTGTGCAGAGTACTACTGCTGCCAATGCTTGTTGATGTTTACAATAAGATCCTCCCTACAAGTTACAACATCTCAGTCAAATCACTCCATATGAGTAGTTATATAAGGTATACTCTACTGCAGCATGTATTCTCGCACATCGCGAGCCATGGATGGCTTTGAGGAACGCAACGAACCCCATGCCCACCGCCCCGCCCTCCATACCCCCATGCACATCCTGCTCCTCAATAAAAAAACGACTCTAAATGGGGCTGTGCTGTGGTGTGCTGTGCTGCCCACTCTCCCCCCCTGCTCCTTTCTTCTCCCTTCTCTACTTCATGTATTCTCGCACGTCGCGAGCGATTGACTCCAGGAAAGCAACAAAACCCATGCCCACCGCCCCGCCCTCCACGTCCCCATCCACATCTTGCTCCTCGATCAGAAACGTCTTCAAAGGGGGCTGTGCTGTGTCGTGATGTGATGTGCTGTGCTGTGCTGTCTGCTCCTCTCCCCTCCTCCACACTCCTCCCTTCTCTACTTCATGTATTCACGCACATCGCGAGCAATCGATTCAAGAAACGCAACAAACCCCATGCCCACTGCCCCGCCCTCCACGTCCCCATCCACATCTTGCTCCTCGATCAGAAACGTCTCAAAGGGGGCTGTGCTGTCCACGCCTCCCCGGATGGTGATTGTACGCGGCGTGATTATGCGGTCGGCCTTCAGCCGGTTGATGGTCGTCCGCAGCAAGCCTAGGAGGGACGGTTGTTGAGAGGGAGAAGAGGGGGAAGGGAGGACAAGTGGCATTTGTGACTGTACGTGGTGTGATTATGCGATCGGCCTTCAGCCTGTTGATGGTCGTCCGCAGCAATGCTAGGAAGGGGGGGAGGGAGGGAGGGACGCACAGAGGGAGTGAGGGGAGGAGGGAGTGAGGGGGATGACAGAGAGGAGATATGGGGTGTTGAGAGTGACAAGTGCTCCTGGGGAGGAGGCAAGCAGGGGGCACGCATGCTAGGGTAAGAAAGAGAAGGGCTACTCACCTGTTTGAGGCGGTGGGAAGGGAAGATCCGCAGGGGCTGCAGGCGAGTAGGAAGATGGGGCTGCAGGCGAGTAGGAAGATGGGGCTGCAGGCGAGTAGGAAGATGGGGCTGCAGGGGCTACGTACTGTGTTGTGGTTGAGGGGAAACTGTAACACTTCTTACTTGTTTGAGGCGGTGGGAAGGGAAGATCCGCAGGGGCTACAGGCGAGTAGAGGACGATGATGGTGCTCAAGACATCGAGCAGAAAGAACGGTCTGCAGGGGCTACTCGTTCGCGGGTAAAAGAAGATCAACTTACTCGTTTGCGGCGGTGGGAAGGGCAGGTCTCGTCTGCAGGGGCAGCAGGCGAGTAGAAGGCGATGATGGTGCTGAATGCACTGAGCAGAAAGATGGGGCTGCCGCTGGTGACGAGTGGTGCTGGTGATGTAGAGACACAAGCAGGTTCGGCTTATGGAACCAGAGGTGAACTTACTTGTTTGTGGTGGAGGGAATGGGAGGTCTGCAGGTGCTGCAGGCGAGTAGGAGACGATGATGGTGCTGAGTGCATCGAGGAGGAAAATTGGGCTGCCGCTGGTGACGAGTGGTGGTGGTGACGGTGAGTGGTGCATGTGATGGTGACTGGTGCTTGTGATGAGGCAAGTAGGGAACGCATGCTAGGGTAAATGAAATGTTACTCACTTGTTTGTGGTGGTGGGAAGGGCAGGTCGGGGGGAGCGGCGGGCGAATAAAAGATGATGATGGTGCTGAATGCATCGAGGAGGAAAATGGGGCTCCCGCTGGTGACGAGGGCAGCACGGCTCAGGGAGTGGCGGGGGAAGGCGGGGCGGTCGGGAGTGGTGTAGGAGGAGAGGACGGGGTAGACAGCCCGCATGAGGAATGAAGGATCTAGAGAACTGCGGTGGGGGGGGAAACAGAGGGGTGAAGAGCGGTAGAGGTGGACAAGAATGAGGTACAGAGTGGTGGAGAAAGGTCGGTCGGGAGTGGTGAAGGAGGAGAGGACAGGGTAGACTGCCCACATGAGGAAGGGGGGGTCCTGGGAACTGCGGTGGGGAGGGGCGGGAATGGCAACAAAGGGAGTGGGAATAGCAACAGAGGGGTGGAGAGTGATAGAGATGGAAAGAACGAGGTACAGATTGGTGAGAGAGTGAGGCGCAGAGTGGTGTAGGAGGAGAGGACTGGTTAGACTGTCCGCGTGAGGAATGAAGGGTCCAGGGAACTGCGGTGGGGAGGGGCGGGAATGACAACAGAGGGGTAGGACTGGTTAGACTGTCCGCATGAGAAATGAAGGGTCCAGGGAACTACGGTGGGGAGAGCACAAAAGAGCAGGAAGAGATGCAATGAAGCGTTGAAGGAGGGGAGTAGGAGGGTAGCACCAAATCGGGAGATGTCCCAAAACACGTCTCAAATCTTGAGACATCTCAAGAACGTCAAGAATACCTTCAATTTTTACCAAGGTGACTTTTGAGTCGACTCAAAAGTCACAACGTCAAGAATACCTTCAATTTTTGCCCCACACCTTGGCAGCCACAGCAGAAGAATTCTGCAGACAGCTGGAGGGAGACAGGGGGAGGAGAACAGAGGTGTAGATAGGTGGAGAGAGTGGAAAAATGGTGGAGAGGGGTGGAGAGCTCTCACCTGTATAGGCAGTGCAGGAACGTGCGCAAGTCAGGATGCACCCGTTCCCTTGGCAGCTGCAGCAGCGGCGAGCAGAGGAGAGAGCTATAGAGGCCTAGGGAGATATTGAGCGGTGGAGTGTGGTGGAGGTGAGCAGAGATCTTACCTGTATAGGCAGTGCAGGAACGTGCGCAGGTCAGAGTGAACCCCTTCCCTTGGCAGCTGCAGCAGAGGAGATCGCAGGAGCGCAAAGGCAAGCCGCGGCAGCAGCTGCAGCTGTGGGCAGGCTGAGAAGGAGAGATCTAGAGGAAGGTGGGGAGAGAGGTGGAGAGCGGTACACAGTGCTCACCTGTAGAGGCAGTGCAGGAACGTGCGCCAGTCAGGATGCACCCCTTCTCGTAACATCTGCAGCAGTGGAGATCGCAGGAGCGCAAAAGCTAGCCGCAGCAGAGGCTGCAGCTACGGGCAGGCTGAGAAGGAGAGATCTAGGCGAGTCACAGAGTGGGGCTGGTTGAAATGAAGAGAGGTGGAGAGTGGTACAGAGCTCTCACGGTCTCACCTGTATAGGCAGTGCAGGAACGTGCGCAAGTCAGGGTGAACCCCTTCCCTTGGCAGCTGCAGCAGAGGAGACCGCAGGAGCGCGAAAGCCAGCCGCGGCAGCGGCTGCAGCTGCGGGCAGGCTGAGAAGGAGACGTCTAGGCGAGTCACCGAGTGGGGTTGGTTGAACTGAAGAGAGGTGGAGAGAGGTGGAGAGGGGTGGAGAGCTCTCACGGTCTCACCTGTATAGGCAGTGCAGGAAAGTGCGCAGGTCAGGGTGAACCCCTTCCCTTGGCAGCTGCAGCAGCGGAGAGAGCTGGACAGGAGTACGGAGAGAGTGAGAGTGGTCGAGAGAGGTGGAGAGCGGTGGAGAGTGGTCTCACCCGTATAAGCAGTGCAGGAACGTGCGCAGGTCAGGGTGAACCCCTTCCCTTGGCAGCTGCAGCAGCGGCGAGCGCAGGAGAGCAAAAGCCAGCCGCGGCAGCGGCTGCAGCTGCGGGCAGGCTGAGAAGGAGACGTCGAGGCGAGTCACCGAGTGGGGTTGGTTGAACTGAGCGAGGCCAAAGGCGTGGTTGTAGTGGGCCGTGAGAATGACCAGCCAGTCCTGCAGGAGCAACCTGCCTTCCCGTACTCCCTCTTCCAGCGATGCCCGAATGACCTGTGGGAAGGAAGAGGGAGGGGATGGAAAGGGCTGGTTGAACTGGGCGAGTCCGAAGGCGTGGTTGTGGTGGGCCGTGAGAATGACCAGCCAGTCCTGCAGGAGGAGTCTGCCTTCCCTTACTCCTTCCTCAAGGGACGCTCTGATAACCTGTGGGAGGGGAGAGAAGGTGAAAGAGAGAGGGACAGAAGGGGCTGGTTGAACTGGGCGAGTCCGAAGGCGTGGTTGTAGTGGGCCGTGAGAATGACCAGCCAGTCCTGCAGGAGCAACCTGCCTTCCCTTAATCCCTCTTCCAGGGATGCCCGGATGACCTGAGGAGCAGTGGGGAGAGAGAAAAAGAGAGAGGGACAGGGACAAGGAGAGGGACGGAAGGGAGTCTGCCCTCCCTTAATCCCTCTTCCAGGGATGCCCGGATGACCTGAGGAGCAGTGGGGAGAGAGAAAAAGAGAGAGGGACAGGGACAAGGAGAGGGACGGAAGGGAGTCTGCCCTCCCTTAATCCCTCTTCCAGGGATGCCCGGATGACCTGAGGAGCAGTGGGGAGAGAGAAAAAGAGAGAGGGACAGGGACAAGGAGAGGGACGGAAGGGAGTCTGCCCTCCCTTAATCCCTCTTCCAGCGATGCCCGGATGACCTGAGGAGCAGTGGGGAGAGAGAGCGGTGAGAAGGAGTGGGAGAGGAGAGAGAAACGAGCGAGGGAAGGAAAGTGGGAGCACATAAAGACCCGCGAATGGCCTCGTACACGGCTTTTGAGAAGCCTACAAATCAGCAGTTAAACACCCATCGCGTGTAATGAGTCGATTTTTGAGTCGACTCAAAGATCCCGCGAATAGCCTCGTGCAGGACTTTTGAGAAGCCTAAAAATCAGCAGTTAAACACCCATCGCATGTGCGAGCAAGGTGAGAATGGCTTCGTTACCAGCAGACTCGTATTTCTCCCTCGCCCCCCTCGCCACGTCCAGTCATGAAACATCTCAGATACAGGAAAACCTCATTCTTTTTAGGCGCCTTCAAAAGACGATTTTTGAGGCGCCTCAAAAGACGTCTCAAACACTGGAAAATCTTCTGAGTCGACTCAAGAACAGACCCACCTTGTGTGTGAGAACATTTAGGGCGCGTTGCATTTGGCGCACATAGCTCAAAACTCAACTAACCACTTTGAACCATGCCGTAACGCTCTCTAAAACTTCAAACTTCGACAAAAAAATCGACCCTGCAACACGCCCTTAGAAGAGCTCGTTATCAGCAAACTCGTATATCTCCCTCGCCCCCCTCCCACTTGGCCAACCCCGGGTCCCAAGACTAGAAGAGGAGAAGAGAGGAGAGCACCCACCTTGCGTGTGATAACAGTCAGAATAGCTTCGTTATCAGCAGAATCGCATACCCCCCTCGCCCCCCTCGCCACATCCACACATATCATCTTCACTCTCAGCCTTCTCCTCCTCAGCACCACGCCCCCTTCAGCACCGCTCCTCTCCTGCTTCCATCCTCCCCGTTCCTTCCATTACTCACTTGTGACTTACCTTGTGTGTGAGAACGGTTAGAATGGACTCGTTATCAGCAGACTCGTATATCTCCCTAGCCCCCTTTGCCCCACCCCTTCACTTCGCCAACCCCATGTCCCAAGACTAGAAGAAGAGAGGACTCACCTTGTGTGTGAGAACAGTGAGAATGGACTCGTTATCAGCAGACTCGTACATCTCCCTCGCCCCCCTCGCCACCTCCAGTCATAAGACGTCTCAACCACCGGTAAAGACGCACCTTGTGTGTGAGAACAGTGAGAATGGACTCGTTATCAGCAGACTCGTAGATGTCCCTCGCCCCCTTTGCCACGTCCACACATATCGTCTTCACTCTCAGCCTCCGTCTAAGCACCACCCCTCTTCTCTTCCCACCCTTCCTCCCACTGCTGCTGCTGCTGCTGCTGCTCCCCACCCCACCTCCTCCCGCACCTGTCTCTCTTCCCCCCTCCCCCTCCTTTTCTCCTCCTCCTTCTTTCCCCTTTCCTCCCTCCATCACTCCTTCAGCAGTCCCGTTCACACCTGTAGCAGCCCCATCCCCGTTACTAGCCGCCCCGTTACCCCCCCCAACCCCCTCGCCCCTCTCCCCTCCCCCTTCCACCGGAATGATCACAGTATACTGAAACGCCAGTTGTAACACTGCTCCCCGGTTACCACCACCACTCCCTCCCTTCTCTCTCCCAGCCCTCCCCTTCACCCCAAACCCAGCCTTCCCCTGAAACTCCAAGTCAAATGCGTACGAATCAAATGGATCACATCTAATGATATGATAAAGATTCTCATACTGAGCATCGGGGAAGAAGTGACCGTAGGCTCGGACGGCCCGAAGCTCCCGGGAGGTTCGGAGCCGGAGCACCCCGCCGAAAGCGGAGGGTCGGCAGAGCATGCGGTATATGTCTTGAGGGAGGGTAGCCTCGTCTAAAGAAGGGTAAAGAAAGAGAGTACCCCCGCTTTCCACACTTAAGCAACGGAGAGAGGCTAGGTCACAGTATGGGACGGGCAGGGAAGAAGGGGTGGAGGGAGGAGGATCGGCAATGGTCACAGCAGCGACCCCTGCAGCAGCAGCGGCAGCAGCAGAAGCAGGATCTGTAGTTACCGCACCCCCGGCCTCTCTACTAGCATTTTCATCCCCGTTACTAGCATAACTCGGTACAGCAAACAGATCCACGCACACCCCCGCTTGCACCGCAGCCGCAGCCAGCTCCCTATAAAACGGCGTCTGCTCCTGTAGCAACCCCTTATCCGCTACAACCGGGTCTGCTACATCCTTGGCGCTCCTGCTTCTCTGACTCGCCGCTACAGCCAGGCTGGCGAGAGCTGTATCGTACCGAACCGTACTCAACGCCCCCATACCATGGTTCGGGGCTCCAGAGAGGAAAACCAGTAATCTGGCCCCTACAAACGGGCCTACTTCCCCTGCGGCCGCTGCTGCCGCTGCTGCTGCGGCGATACTCACGTTACCCCCACCACCGCCGCCACTTCCACTGGTATTGATGACGTCAGCTCGGAGGCCTCTGGCTATTCTAGCACTCGGACCATCCTCCATACCCCCTAAATACCTAATTAAAGCGTCCAAAGCCGTTCCGAAGCCCCTAACACCGTCCTTCCTCCCCCCTCTCTCCGCGTCCTTCCCTCCCTTCCCCCCTCCGCCCTTCCCCCCCGCGCCCTGCGCCGCTCCTCCCTTCCCCCCACCGCCCTTCCCCCCTCCAGACGCGTCCAAATCGAGGGGAGGAGGGTCGGGGCGGAGGGTTTCGAGAGCAGCAGCTGCGTGCTCCTTGTGACGTGAGAGGGACGCGAGGAAGGCGGGGAGGGGGAGGAGATCGCCCAGGGCTAGGGGTAAGCGGTGAGCAGAGGAGGCGGGGATGGCGACGGATTTCACTGCTGCTACGGGGCCTTGTAGATCATAAAGGCCGACCTGGTAGGGGGGGAGGGAGGGACGGAGGGAGGGACGGAGGGAGGAGAGGGAGAGATGAGTGAAGTGGGGTTTCGAGGGCGACAGCTGCGTGCTCCTTGTGGCGCGAGAGGGACGCGAGGAAAGCAGGCAGAGGGAGGAGGTCGCCCAGGGCTAGGGGCAGGCGGTGAGCAGAGGAGGCGGGGATGGCGACGGATTTCACTGCTGGCACGGGGCCTTGTAGGTCATAAAGGCCGACCTGGTAGGGTTGGGGGGAGTGGCGAGTGGTGGAGAGGGGTGGAGAGGGGTGGGGGGTGAGTGCAAAGGCAGGAGATCGCCCAGGGCTAGAGAGGCAGGTGGTGGGAGGGCGAGGCGGGGTTGGTGACGGACTTGACTGCTGCTACGGGGCCTTGTAGATCGTACAGACCCACCTGGTAGGGGGAGCGGACGGAAGGAGTGGTGGGAAGGGGTGGAGAGGGGTGGAGAGGGTTGTTAGGGGAGGGCTAAGGGCAGGCGGTGCGAGGGCGAGGCGGGGATGGTGACGGACTTGACTGCTGCTACGGGGCCTTGTAAGTCGTACAAACCGACCTGATAGGGGAAGGGGGGGAGTGGGGAGTGGTGGGGAGGGGTGGGGTGGAGTAGGGGGTGAGGTGCAGAGGTAGGAGGTCGCCCAGGGCTAGAGGCAGGCGGAGGGAGGAGGAGGGGGGGATGGCGACAGATTTGACTGCTGCCACCGGGCCCTGTAAGTCGTACAGACCCACCTGGTAGGGAGGGAAGGGGGAGGGGGGGGGAGGAGAGGGGAGGGAGGTAGGGAGAGAGGGGCAAGAGGGAATCGCCACCCCTAGTACTGCTGCTACGGAGCCCTGCAGGTCGTACAGAGCGAATGCAACCCGAACAGAGCAGAAGGAGAACATAATACTCACCTTGCTTCCGAACGTAACCAGCCCGAACAGTGCAGCAGGCGAGAGCGCTTCTAACGCGGCCAGCAGCGAGCTCTTAACGAGTTCCAGAAACTCCTCTGAGCCTGACACGTCAACCATGGCGATATACACCGGCCGCTTGCGAATTTCCGCTTCGTCCAACACGTGGCAGCTGCTAATTGGCTCTCCCAACCCATGCGGAATGGAACCTGCGACCTCTCCGTCGCCCTGCGACTCTCCTTGCTCGAATTCCACTTCGTCAGCGTCGCCCTCCGCGGCAACGTCCAGCTCGACGAGCGTGTGCGACAGCTCTGCGACGTCTGCGACGTTCGATCCCCCGTAGCGACGCAGCTCCGCGTCGCTGAACGGATTCACGACGTCGCACAGCGAGCACCGCCACGAAAACCGATCGATCGCACAGTACGGATTGATATACGCATAGCAATCCTCGCACCGCGCCACGTCATCAGCTAGCGGAAGCGGCGCCGGCGAAAGCGCCGCGGGAAGCGGCTGCAGAGCCGTGCCGCCAGACGCAGAATTAAGAGACGACGACGAGCCGAAGCGCGGGAAAGAGGAGTTAGAAGACGATTTTCGAATGCTGCTTCCGCCGGTGCCGACGCTAGCTGCGACGCCGCTTCCCGGAATACCCGCTTCGTCATCTAGAGCGAATGGTTGGACGACGCAGCCCCACGGGAGACCCGTCGCATCGCGCGATTCCGGATCTAGCGGAAATTTGTTCACCGTGAAACGAATGGCCATTCTGAAGGCTGGCGATCAACTCTTTTCGCGACTAGGGAACTGGTTACCGGATTGGAACGGATATCGGAGTGTTCGCGACCGTCGGCCTGATCAAGAGAAAACTTCCAGCTTTAGAAATGTCGCGCACGATAAAACGGTGGGTCGGCCACGGCATTGGCTACGGTACGAGAAAACAATGGAAACGAGCTGAGCGAGCTTCGGCTGATCATCGGAGGACGTCAAGTATATGAAATGGAATTTTTAGGGAGGTAACATAAGTAGTTTCAAGCAATGCGTAATATTTAGGTTTGGGGCGTTTAGGGTCGACTTAAGAAATGCACCGAGAGCGCACAATAGAGGATCTGTCCGGAACAGCGAAAGACGCTCCTAATTTTACCTGTCCCTAATCTCCTCGCCAGTGTCCCAACGAATCTGGATTCCTGATCATATTGAACGAACTTCTGCTGGTAGTTGAGCCCCCACCATGCTGTACCACACTGCATCCCACTGAGAGTAATAGCACCGTGCACAACCACTCTAAAGGTATGACCTTTCGCCTTCTCCGAACCCAACGGAACAACATCTGTCCCGCCAAATCAGCCGTCAAGATCCAACTTCAAGAGATTCCTCGAAACGGGGAAGCGCGCCAAAACAGGAAACCCAATAATTAAAGGTTCTGCCGGGATTCGAACCCAGGTTGCTGGATTCAAAGTCCAGAGTGCTAACCACTGCACCACAGAACCGGTGTATGTCGAAAGACAGCAACATACATAACCAATTATCAAGTTAATCCAACTTAAAAGTTTAACTTGGCTATTGCTTAGTGTGTTTGTTTTTACAGCAATGGCGTACCTCGGAACCACGTCAGCGGGGCTCGAATTCGCGCTACGAGATGAGGTGAGAGCCGCGCAGAGCACGGGTTTCTCTCTCGACCCGCACGCGAGGTGCGAGTACTGCAGCGCAGGTCGCTCTGGCATAGACCTACGCGGTCTTTGCGATTCAAATGTTGAGCGCTGACCCATCGATCAGCCAAGTCTCCTGGGCTGTCTAAGTGGCGATTATGGGGAAAGCCTACTCGCAATGCACCGCTTCTGAGGACCCGCAACCTATAGTCTCTCCTGAACATTTGAAAAGAAATCCTTCGTTACCCACCAGACCATTTTAAACCACTCTTCACCCTCATTCTTACACTTCCCCCCGAATCTATGGTGCCAGCTGGCTGCCAGGCTGGCGGGGAGGGTGTCTGACGTCAGCGCGGTGCATGGCGGGGTGAGGTTCACCACTGGCGCTGCTGCTGAGGTGGGTGCGCGAAGGTTCCACGAAAAGAGCGGGTAGTGATGATTGATCAAGAGGATGCGGGGAGGGGTATGATGGAAGGGATCATGAGAGGGGAAGATCATGAGTGACACCTCAATACCTAAATCTTAAACCCTGAATCTTGGACCCTGAGTTTTATACCCCGAATCTGAAACCCTGATTAACCCTGAATCTAAAATCTAGATTCTTGAACCTTGAATCTTACGCCTGAGCCCTAGTTAGTCTCTTCCCTTGTCCTGCTTTGGTTATTTTCTACTGAACGCAGGAGCTGCAGCAGCTGAGGGCGGTGGACAACCTATACGCGTTTGTAGCCTCACGAGAGGTGCGTCATACGTCCGAGCAATGTATATACTGCTGCTGCCTTTCCTAAGTTATACCAAAATCAGAGACATTTATTCCTCGCGCCACCGCCTCCCTGCTCTGCTGCTTGACCAATCAGGACGTGCCACATGGCAAGGAGGCCGTTGACTACTTCACCGCACTGCCAGCTCAGGTATGTTTTGCAGTGTTTTCATCGATTGTGCACACTGCTGGCTCCACACTGCCAGCTAAGCAATGTCAGCTCAGCATGCCAGCTCAGCATTGGCATGCCATGACTGATCAACTGTGTGCTCTGTTGTTTCCTACCTGGCATATCCTCACCTGCCACGTCAGCAGATAGACTGGCAGCCAGCCCTCTCGCTTTTCCACCAATGGCAGCAGCGCAGGGAGGATGGAATGACGTCAGCAGCATGCGAAAGCAGACAGGAGCTGACGTCATCAGCTGAAGAGCATGAAAAATCACCTGAGAGGAAGAGGCTGAGACAGGAGGGAGAGCATGCGGTGGCGGTAACACCTGGGGCAACAGACACTGCTGATGTGGCACCACCTGAAGGAGCACCTGGGGAAACACCTGAAGGAGCACCTGTGGGAACGCGTGAGGGAGGCAAGGCAGTGGCGGCGGCAGCGGCAGAGGCAGCAGCAGGAGGAGCAGCAGAGAGGCAGGGTTCCAGTGGGCTGCAGTTTAGAGTGACCTGCCATCGTGTGTGCATGAAGCTTACCAAACACGGGTTCTCCTCCCCTGAAGCCGCTGGTATGTGCTCTTTATATGCATGTATGTGTGTGCGTGTGTGCGTGTGTGCATGTGCATGTGGGGTGGGAACAACAGGAGCAGCAGAGAGGCAGGGATCCAGTGGGCTGCAGTTTCGAGTGACCTGTCATCGAATATGCATGAAGCTGACTAAACACGGGTTCTCCTCCCCTGAAGCTGCTGGTACGTGCCCGCATCTGCGCTTTCCCATGCATCTGCATTTGCACCCACATCTGCACTTTCTCGCTCACAGGCGTATTGGTTAGTCTGAGTGTGCATCTCTTGGGATACCACTGTTACGAGGTGACTTTTGAGTCGACTCATAAGTCACCTCATCTGCACTTTCTCGCTCACGGTTCACACACCTCCCACCCCTCCTCTACTGCCATCACCCTTGTCTCACAGGCGCCCTCGGCGAGGGCCTTCTAGAAATCTTCTCGTCCTGGACCGTCAGCCTTGGGCAGTTTGAGTGTGGGCCTTAGAGTATCACGGTTCACACACCTCCCACCCTTCCTCTACTCCCATCACCCTTGTCTCACAGGCGCCTTGGGCGAGGGCCTTCTGGGAATCTTCCCATCCTGGACCGTCAGCCTTCGCCAGTTTGAGTGTGAGTGTGTGCGCTACCAGCCGCGCAGCATATAATCAGTTGAAGAACGTAGTCTAATAAAAAGCGAGACTTATCTTACTTTGATAATGTACTTAAGAATGTAGTCTGATGAAGAGCGAGTCTTATCTTACTTTGATAATCCCTTTGGGTTCCCTGCTTGTGCATCTCCTCCTCCGTCTCTCCCCTCCCTCTCCTCCTCCGTCTCTCCCCTCCCTCTCCTCCTCTTTCCCAGTGGACGTGCTAGCATTGATCCGGGACTCCCATCTCACTAAGTTGCTCTCTCTCTCTCTGCCTTTCGTCCCCCCTATGGGTACGTTGCATGTACATCACTCCCCCCCTTTCCTTTCTTCCCTTCCCCCCTCTCTTACCCTGTCACTTTCCCTCCCCATCTCCCCTTCCCTCCCCCCTAGTGGACGTGCTAGCATGGATCCGGGACTCCCATCTCACGCTGCTCATCGCACTCATCTATGCGTGAGCTTACTTCCGTTACCTTGCCTTCTGAGGCGCCTCAAAAGGCATACTTCCGTTACCTTGCCTTCCCTTCCCTTTCCTTCCCTTCTCAACAACGTCTCGCCACACCTCCTCCTATCCCCATTTCCCCCTCGCTCATTTCTTCTCCCTCTCCTCTCTGCTCCCCTTCCCCTCCACCACCCCCCAACCTCATAAACTCTCTTACAATGCAAACTGAATTCCTACACTCCATAGTGGTTCTATTTGCTGACATTCATCCCTCCTTCTAAACTGTGGACGCTCGATCGAGAAATCTGACTCTTGCAGTGATTCCCCGAAGAGAAGTGAAGAGGGATCAAAGGAGCAACAGGAACGGCAACTAAAGGAGCAACAAACAGAACAAGTGAAGGAGCAACAGGCAGAGCAAACCAATGGAGAGAGCAAGGATTTGGACAAGTGCGGCGGCAGCGGGGAGGGCAAAAAGAACGCAGGGAGGGCAATTCAAGCGAGATCACACAACGCAGAGAGACAGGTGGGTGTGGCTTGAGCTACTCCGCAGTCTAGGGGGTGGGGTGGGGTGGGGTGGGGTGGGGTGGGGTGGGGTGGGGTGGGGTGGGGTGGGGTGGGGTGGGGTCGGCACGGTCGGGAATCAATGCTCCTTGTTCTCAGTTTTTGCTTAAGACTCTGCTGTATTTCTTGAAGTTCTGAACGTAAATCGCACGACAAAATGGGACAGGCAAGGCAAGTACCAGACTAATCAATACTTTTGAGTCGACTCAAAAGTCAGCATGGGACAGGCAAGGCAAGTACCAGACTAATCAATACTTTTGAGTCGACTCAAAAGTCAGCATGGGACAGGCAAGTCAAGTACCATACTAATCATGACTTTTGAGTCGACTCAAAAGTCAGCATGGGACAGGCAAGACAAGTGCCAGACTAATCATCTACTCCTCCTCCGCTCCTCCCCCTTCACCTTCTCCCCAGCTCTACTCTTCCCTTCCCTACCGCAAGGCTCATGTTCCAACGTCTCCCATCCCCTTCCCGCTCCGCCTCCTCCTCCCCTTTCTCCTTCCCTCCACATACCCCTCCGCCTGCCCTTTCCCCCGTCCTTCCCCATCTCCCATCCCCCCAGCTCTACTCCTCCCGCTCCTACCGCAAGGCCCATGTCCTTCCCCATCACCCATCCCCCTCCCGTTCCGCCTCCCCCTCCCCCTCCCTCCCCTTTCCTTCCCTTACCAACAGCTCTACTCCTCCCGAGCCTATCGCAAGGCCCTCGTCCCAACGTCCCTCAAGCCCAGGTGGGTGTGTCTGTTCTGGTTACCGCGTGTCACATTCCCATGATGTGTCTTGGACCGCCTCACATCCCAGCTTGGGACACTCCCTCCTCCTCTCCACCTCTACTCCTCCCGCGCCTACCGTAAGGCCCTCGTCCCAACGTCCCTCAAGCCCAGGTGGGTCTGTCTACCGCCCACCTGTTTGCATTCCCACAAAACCCCATGATGAGACGTCTCAAAAGCCGTCTTCTTACACACGGGCTTTAAGACGCTCCTGAACTCAAGCCCAGGTTGCGCCTTTTCCGCTTCTCGCTCTGTCATCCTCCCCCCTCCACCTCTCCCCACCCCTTCTGGTGATTCCTTCCCTTCGCCCTCCTGCAACTGGCTTATATCCGTGCTTACACCTCGCCACATCCCCACCTCCCTCCTCTCGTCTCCTCCCCCCTCTGCCCCTTTCCCCCCCCTCCTCAGCACAGCTTTCGCCCTCCTGCAACTGGCAAACATCCGCGCTTGCACCTTACAACCTCTTCCTCTCCTCTCTTCATCCTCTCTTCATCCTCTCTTCATCCTCTCTTCATCCTCTCTTCATCCTCTCTTCATCCTCTCTCCTCTCTCTTTCCCTCTCTTTTCCCCTTCGCAGCACCGCCTTCGCCCTCCTGCAACTGGCGGACATCCGCCCAGGCGACATCGTGCTCGACCCCATGTGAGGCTCACTGTACTCGTTATTGAGCTGTATATGCGAACTCGTTATAGCCATCCACACTACAGGGAAGCACACCTGCCGCAGGCCTGTTAGCCTTGGCCCTCCTGCAACTGGCGGGCATCCACCCCGGCCACATCGTGCTCGACCCCATGTGAGGCTTTTTCCTCGTTTACACATACTCTTTATTGAGTTGTAGAAAGGGGACGCACCTGTCAGTCACACACCTGCTGGCCTCCGCCCTCCTGCAACTGGCAGACATCCACCCCGGCAGAGCAACTGGCCTACTCAGCCCCATGACATGTAAGGTTCTATACTAGTCGTACTGTAGCCAGTCATACTCGTTATAGAGTGGCAGGGTACACACATGCCACAAATCTGTCTGCCTCCGCCCTCCTGCAACTGGCTGGCGGGCCTCCACCCCGGAGGGGATAACAAATGCTCTGTGGCTGTTCATGCATGAGCACGCCTTGTATCCCTCCATATCGCATGTCACCGCACTAAATCCCTTCGTTCAACCCCCCTTTTTCAGGTGTGGCTGTGGGACTCTCCCTCTGGAGGCTGCTGATTGGTTGAAAAGTTGCGTCAGTGCATTTGGGGGGGATAAAGATGCAGGGGCTGTAGATGCTGCTGCAACCAATAGCATCGCTTGGAGGACCGCTTTAGCCAATAGCAAAGCCTTGGGAATTGCTGCGGCGAACGGGAGCGCCTTGAGAATCTCTGCGGCCAATCAGGGCAAAGAGGAAGCCGCTGTAGCGAATGGGGATGCAGCAAGGAGGAGCCAAAAGGGCCACGTGGCAGGCTGTGATTGGCTGGTCTGGGATGCCTCTGCCCTGCCTCTGCGAACCGGCTGTGTGGATCGGGTGCTCTGTGACATGCCCTTCGGGGTGCGGTGTGGTGAGTGGTTCGAAGTGGTGAAGAGTGGTGACAAGCGGTGACAAATGGTGAAAAGAGGTGAAAAGTGGTGGAGGTGCTTAGTTGATGACTGGCTGTGGATCGGGTGCTCTGTGACATGCCCTTTGGGGTCAGGTGTGGTGAGTGGTGGAAAGCAGTGACAAGCGGGGCTTAGGAGGGGTGTCATGTGTGGATAGGGTGCTCTGTGACATGCCCTTCGGTGTGTGGTGTGGTGAGTGGTGACAAGTGGTGACAAGTGGTGACAAGCAAGCCCCATGCCCCGTACCCCGTGCCCCACTCTGCCTGTGTTCTCCATGCCAACCCTTGCATCCGCTGCTTCCAGGAAACTTCAAGATGAGAGAGCGGCTGTGCCCCACAGTGATCCGGCAGGTGTGTGTGTGGAGGGGGGAGGGGGGAGGGGGGAGGGGGAAGGGGGGAGGGGGGAGGGGGGAGGGGGGAGGGGGGAGGGGGGGAGGGGGGAGGGGGAAGGGGGGAGGGGGGAGGGGGGAGGGGGGGAGGGGGGAGGGGGAAGGGGGAAGGGGGGTAGAGGGGGGAAGGAGAGGAGAGAGGGGGGGGGATGAAGAGGAAAAGGATGAGGTGAGGGGGAAGAACACGAGGGGAAGTTGGTGATATGAGGGCAGTGGGTGGAGATGAGAGAGAGGCTGCGCCCTGCAGTGATCCGGCAGTGCGGGAGGGAAGGGAAGGGGGGGTGAGGGGAAGGGGGAGGAGGTGAAGGAAGAGGAGGACGGGAAAGATGGGGTGGATATATGACTTTGACAGGTGAGCGAAGAGGAGGAAATTTCTACATTATTACCTAGCTGTTTTTTTCCTTGCTCCTCCAAGCCACGAGTATTTCTTTCCATTATAGAAAATTTCCACATTATGATGTTCTTTTTCTACTTCCCCTTCTCTTTACCCTGCCCTGAAACTCTCAGGTTGCACGTGTACTGACCCCAGGCACTGGTACGTATGCATCCTGCTGCAACCCCCATTTCCTCAATTGCTCCAACGCCCGCACCCGCATGTGCCAGTCCCACCCAACCCATGCTCTCATCACGCACACGTGTGCTGACCCCAGGCACTGGTACGTATTCATCCTGCTGCAAACCCCCTCAAATCTGCCAGTTATGTGAAAATATTCAACCCCTCATGTCCTAATGATGTTGAGTATCCTGAGTCGTTGTTTCCCACACCTGTATGGCAAGTCAATTACTTGGATTCTCATAATCGCTTCAATCTGCTTGCCTTTCACCCATTCCCTTGATCTGTCCGACCCAGTGTCAAGTTACCAATCATGTATACTCCCCACAACACAGTATTGCAATCCGATACCTTTCCACAAAAACCGAATGGCAAAAACTTGATTTTTTTCTCATCACTTAGACGTGCTTGCCACACAGTTCCCAGGTTTGTGTCTTTCATTTCAATTCATTTTATTGGCTTGCTAATCCCCTTGCAGGACTGGCAGTGCTGATGGCGGTGGGCAGGGGCGGTGAGGGCAGCCGTTGAGGGGCTTTCTGTGTGTCTGCGGGAGAAGCGATAGCTACATCCCCACCCCCTATCTCCCCCTTTTCATGTCCCGCTCTCCTTTGTCCCCCTGCTCCTTGCAGGACTGGCAGTGCTGATGGCGGTGGGGAGGGGCGTGAGGGCAGCTGTTGAGGGCCAGGCAGTGTGTCTGTCCGTCTGATGCACTTGCTGCTGCTTTCCAACCCCCTCCTTCCTATCTCCTCCCTGTCTGCAGGACTGGCAGTGCTGATGGCGGTGGGGAGGGGTGTGAGGGCAGCTGTTGAAGGCCTGTCTGTGTGTCTGCGGGAGAAGCAACGACTGGCTGTGGAAATGGAGGTGAGGGGGGTGGGGAGGGGTTGAAATGGGAGCAAGTGAGTTGCCTCAAAGGCTCTCTGTACTCTACAGAGAAAGGCACAGTTAAAGGAAGGGGTGTGACTTGTGACTCGTGAGGGCTGCCGTTGAGGGCCTGAGCGTGTGTCTGCGGGAGAAGCAGCGAGTGGCTGTGGAGATGGAGGTGAGGGGACGGGAGTGTGTATGGGGGAGGTAGTATATGAGGCACATACACATATGTGGGGGGCGGAAAAAGAGGCGTGAGAGCAGCTGTTGAGGGTTTGGCTGTGTGCCTTCGGGAGAAGCAGCGGTTTTCAGCCGCTGGCTGTCGGAATGGAGGTTAGGGGGGTGGTGGGTGGGAGGTCGGGGGGTTCGGAATGAGAGGTGAGAGGTGTGGTGGTGGAAGGGAATGAGATGTACGAGGGGGGTGAGTGGATGGTGAGGGGAATGGCATATTCCATAATTATAGCATTATTTCAACATCACACCATTTACTGTATGTTGTTTTTCTTCTTCTCGTGACTTTGTCCAGGGTATTCGAGTTGATGTTTATGTGTTGGAGCGAACTGAAGCCGCTGTTCCGGACCCATCGCCACCAGCACCAGCAGCACACCGACATGCAAGGAAGTGATGTAGTGCTTTTCTTGCCTGGGGATTCTACCCAGGGCATTCGAGTCGATGTCTGTGTGCTTGTCCCTGGAGGAAACTGCAATGGGGGATGCAGTGGAGGGAGCTGCATCTCCCATTGTGGAACCACCACTGCCAGCACTATCAGCAGGACCACCACTAGCAGCACCATTAGCACGACATGCAAGGAAGTGATGTAGTGCTTTCAGACATTCCTACCAGTGATTTACCATAATCATTCAAATTCTTGTGTATGTATTGGATAGAACGACCTGCTGCTAGTGAGGTATATACTACATGAGATTGGATATGGCCTGCCTGGTGTCGACCCTACAAGCCCGGGTGTTGCGGGGTGAAGGCAACGAGTGGAGGAGAGGCAGGTAAGTGGGGACTTGAGTGTCCATCATTCTAAGTGAAGGAGAAACATTCGTGATTTATGTACCACTCGTGAGGCACATTGCACATGGGATTGTACAGAGTCTGCCAGGCACACCTTAGAAGCCTAGGAGAGGAAGGTTGGTTGGTGGGGCGCTTGAGTGCCCATAGTCCGTGTGAAGGAGAAACATACTTATGGATGACCCCACAAGCCCAGGTGATGCAAGGAAAAAGACAAAGAGTGGCAAAGAGGAAAAGTGGATTGGTGGGAGCCAGGGCCTCAGATATCAGGAAAAAAACCCAGAAATTCCTGATTTTGGCAGCCCTTTTTTTACCTACACTGAAAAATCAGCGTTGAGATTTTTGTGGGACTGATCTTTCAGCCTTTTTTGTTAGGCCACACTGAAATTTCAGACTTTCGTTTCCCAAGTACACTGATTCTACGGCGTTGTAACGAAACTAACACTGAAAGCAATTCTTACTTGTTCCGTGTGCATTTGCCCGCAAAACAGGGAATCTCATATTCCTGCGGTGCCAGCACTTCATTGGGCAGTAACGCTGTAGCATGAAGTGATAGCTAATCAGGATGTGGCAACCATGTTGTGCTGGAGGGCTGCGAGGGTTCCTGCACCAGCAAGCACTGATGCTCCCATTCCCTCCAACCCAATCTCTTGTTTCTTTTCCTCCTGTTTCTCTCCCTCTCCCTCTCAGCCCGATTCCTCTCTTGCTTTCTCGTCTGCACTAATTCATGGCGCCATCAGCACCAGAAAGGGCGGGCTGTCGGGAATCGAACCCATCGCAAGCGCCGCCGAATCTCCTCTTGTCTCACCGAACACATCGCTCTCGTTCGACGCGATCCGCAGTGCATTCTGCTAGATGGTCGTAGACCACGTGGCAATTCCCGTCGGCGTCGCAGGCCCGCTACGACTCGACGACGCGTAGTTTTTCGTGCTAATGGCGGCAACCGAAGGCTGCCTCGTCGCCAGCACGAACCGCGGTTGAAAAGGCCATCTGCACCGCGTGCGGTGCGCAGATCGTCGTGCTGCGCGACGACATTATCCGCGCATGACCCGCACGCCCGCCGTCCATTCCTCTGCTCCCTTTGCCCCGCACTCCGTGCACTCCATCTCTCCCCCAGTCGTCTCCCCCCCAACTGTGCCAATCTTCCCCCCTCTCTCCCTCCTGTTCTCTCTTTCCCTGCCTCACCCTGCCTGTCAATCCGGTTCCTCCTCCACACCCTGCCCCTGCAGCTTCAACGTGTATGTGTGTGCTGCGGCAGAGCACTGTCACGTACTGGTGTCCCAAGCTGAGGAGAGGAGAGAAGCCAAAGGCAGTGATGATAACACGGCTGCTACTGACTTAGTATTTGAAGTAGAGGTTTCTAGTAATTAACAACCTTTTATATTTTTGAACACTGATACATCAGCCTTTTTTCAAAGGGAACCCTGATATTTCAGGTTTTTTTTTTTAGAAACACTGTCAATCAGGGTTTATACACAAGGGTACCCTGATGGGTCGACGACCCTAAAAGTGAATCTGAGGCCCTGGTGGGAGCTTCAGTTCCCGAAGTCTAGATGAGCGAAACACATGTCTTATCGATGTACAGTATTAGTGAAGCATATACCACGTGGTATTGTGTAGCGTCTGCTGGACACAAACACACGCACAGGTGATGCTTTGGGAATTCTCGAGAGGAAAGGCAAATAGGAGAGGCTTCATAAGTGGTTACAAGCATGAGTAAGCGCACATACTCTATGCGAAGGCAGGGAGGCTTCATGCTGAGGAGAAAGCTGCCTGGTAGGGTGCCCAGGATCTGTATAGGAAAATCAGAGGAAGAGAATAGAACTCAAGAACTTGCTGCTGCTGCTCCTGCTCCTGCTGCCGCTGCTGCGGCCGCTGCTGCTGCCGCGGCTGCTGCCGCTGCTGCGGCCGCTGCTGCTGCTGCTGCTGCCGCTGCTGCTGCCGCGGCTTCTGCTGCTGCTGCTGCTGCTGCTGCTGCTGCTGCTGCTGCTGCTGCTGCTGCTGCTGCTGCTGCTGCTGCTGCTGCTGCTGCTGCTGCTACCACCACTGTTGCTGCCACTGCCAACACTGCCACTTCCACTGGTGCTGCTGGTGCTTCAGAATCGCAAATGTGGTCTTTCTACTGCTCCTGCCACTGCTGCTGCTGATGTTGGTGCAGCTGCCACAGTTGCAGTTCCAATTGCCGCCAATGCTTGAGAGAACTGAAAAAGCACGGTGGTATATTTATGAGGTATATTTATGATTCAGATTCTGAGCCTCTGTTGTGGTATATTTATGAGGTGACTTTTGATTCAACTCAAAAGTCACCTTAATTCATGGTGCAGCTGTTGCCATGGCAGGGTTCGGCTCGAGCAATCCAAGACAACGCGAGCTCCATATTTTGCTGCTGCAGATCCCCACCAGATGTTACCGGCACACTGCTGCTGCTCCTTCTCTTCAGTGGTGTGCCGGTTGGTTCTTTTGCTGCAACTACCTGTAAAACCCAACACGAGCTCTGGATATTTCTCCTGCAGATCACACCACTGCCGCTCCTATGCAAGCAATGGTGTGCCGGCTGTTGCATTTGCTGTAACTATTACCTGTTAACACCTGCAGTCCCCAGTGTGCACCTCGCATTTTTTTTTTTTTTTGTGCCCCTTATACATACATTGCATGCACTGTGTACATGATTTGCAAGTTCTGAAACCACAGCTCTGGTAGTTTTAGACAAGATTTGTAAATTGGCACTAGTGGGCCACATCAAAACGATAAGCACTTTGAGTCTAGCTCAGGAGCGTTCTTTTTAGTATTAAATGAACAAATTTGTTTGTACGGTATCTGTGAATCTACAACAACAGATTTTTCAATTATAACAACAGGACTACTGATCACCCATAAATTACATTAACATCACAACAAAAAACTGAGAGCGTCTAGTCCTTGCAACTGTATTTATTTGCCACACCCATCCTCCATGAAATTACTGACGCTCAGAGTGCCCCTCCTCCCAGCAACGCAAACACGTCATGGTGCTGTGTGTTGCCACTCTTAAGGGGCTTCAAAGGCCTTCACTTGCCAACCCCATCCCCATCTCCCATAAAGTCACTAATGCTGACAGTATCCCCTCCTCCCAACAGCGCAAACACGTCATGGTGCTGCGGGTTGCCGCACTCCCCTCCCACCGCTCCCAACATCTCCGAATCCATGCGAGATTCAGTAGTAGCATCACAGAGGAAAGGACGTGCAGCAGCAAAACCAGCAGCACCAGCACCAGCACTGGCAGCATCAGCACCGGCAGCAGCACCTTCTGCACTCCTCCCAGCACCGGTAGCAAATGTGTTTCGAAATCCCTCTGCCTCTCCTTCCTCTCCTCTTCCACCAGCATCTCTATTCGCTCGAGAAGAGGCCACTGCTATAGCAAGAGCCGCAGCCACTGCAATCCGAGAGGAAAGGTCCCTCGGAGGACTGCTGCCGCTCCCCGCATTCCCGTGACCATGCCCTCCCTGGTCCTGCCCTGATGGGTGCCCCATCTGCTGCTCCCTCCTCGGTACGTCCGACTCACCACCCGCTCCTCTCCCCATGCCGTTTCCTGAGCCGCCTTGCCCAGAATTCCCCCTTCCTCCTCCTCCTCCTGCTCCTGCTCCTGCCGCTCCTCTGCCTCCTCTTCCTCCTCCTCTTCCTCCCGCTGTGTTCCTCTGATGCTGCTCAATCTGCCTGAGAATCACACGGGCCAAGTCAACCACCTCTGGGTCCTCCGCTGCAGATCCCACATCCGGGAGCAAGTTTGCGTAACCCCCTGGGAGCGCTGGTAACATGGGTAACATGGTAACCAGGTCTTCCATGGACTGCCCAGAAGCCAGCCGCCTGCTTTCGGCTTCCTCCATGCCGCCTCCTGCAGCGAATTCGTCACGATCGCGCTCGTTATAAGCACGTGCCCTAGAGAAACCAACAGAGGGGGTGCCTGCAGCCACGGCTCCCACTCCTGCTGCTGAAGAGGTGGGAAGCGCCCTTGGAGCGTGGAATGGAGTGTTAGGTGTGGCTGCAGAGGCAGCAGAGGAGAAAGCAGTCGATAAGGCGGCAGAATGGGCGCGAGCGAGGGAGAGCAATCCACTCGCGTTTATAGGGTATTTGGGGGGGGATCCCTCCAGTCCGTGGGGTAGAGTTGCAATTCCCCCAGCAGCAGCACCACCACCAGCAGCAGAGAAGGCAGCAGAGTGGACACGAGCGAGGGCAAGGGCTCCGATCATATCTGTAGGGTACCCATGGGAAGAACCCTCCGTCCCAGGGTGTACACTTGCGATTCCCCCAGCAGCAGTACCACCACCACCACCACCAGCAGCAGCAGCAGCCTCAGCAGCAGCAGCAGCAGCTGCTGCACAAGGGCCTGGACTAATCGGGTTTAAGGGAGAGGCGCTGCTGGGAACAGGAATCTCAAGCCAGTGGGAAGGCTGGAAGGCAGACGCAGCAAGCGAGGGGGGCTGGGGTGAGCAGGTCGGGGCAGAGGGAGCGTGAGGGACGTCTGGGATAGGCATGAAGTCGTTGAGAAGGCTCCCTAGCTGCGTGGAGATCGGGTCTGCTGCTTGTGGGACGTGCACACTAGGAAAGCTCGCTCCATCCTGCATTGCATGAGCCCCCTTCTCCTCCTGATCCTCCTGTTGCTCCTGCTTTACCAGCTCCTGCTGCTTCTGCCAATCCTCCCACTCCTCGATCTCTTCCATATCCCTCTCCTCTCGCTCCTCCCTCTCTCTCCGTGCTTTCCTGGCTGTCTGCATTTCCTGCGATTCTAGGCCTTCTTGGGATTCCTGGGGTTCTTGCATGTGTGAGTCACTTTGCACTTGCACCAACTCTCCCAGTCCCACTCCCTCCTTCTCTCCCCTCCTCTCTCCCTCGCTCCCTCGCTCCCTCTCTCCGTCCGACTCTCCCTCCCTCACCCCCTCGCTCACTCCCTGTAGCGCCCATCCCTCCTGCTGCTGCTGCTGCTGCTGCTGCTGCTGCTGCTGCTGCTGCTGCTGCTCCCACGACGCCCAAACCTCCTCGAGATGAATCCTGGCCTCAGTTGGGACACGTGGCGGCTCCTCACTGGTCAGCCATGCGCTGCTGGCATCAATCCCCACGCTTGGAAGCACGGCGCTGCTCCACCTCTCCAGATTCACTCCCTGCCTCCTCTGCTGCTGCTGATTCTGCTGCTGCAGCCGCTGCTGCTGCTGCTCCAACTGCTCCTGCTGCTGCATATGCTGCTGTTCCCCCTCTTGCTGTCCCTCTTGCTGCCCCTCCTGCTGCCCCTGCTGCTGCCCCTGCTGCAGATTCAGGTTGTGCATAAAAGCAGCAGAGAGGTTAATATCCTCATCAACATTCTCCCTTCCACCTTCCTCCCCGCTACCATCCTCCCTTCCAGAATCATCCTTCTCCTCTCCTGCCTCTTGCGAATACCGCCTTTCAGAGGTTCCGAAACTCCCCTCACCCGCCCCCTGAGGCTCAGGAGTGTGCATACGGCTCCTCTTGCCGCACCGCTGCTCATCTGAATCAGCCATCCCATACCCAGCAGCCCAGAACTCCGCGCTAGGATTAATCAACTCCATAGCGTGTGTCCCCGGTCCTGCTGCTGCTCCCCCTCCTCCTGCTGCTCCTCCTGCTGCCCCTGCTTCTCCGCCCGCGATCGCAGCAGCATCGGCCACAATACCTGCTGCAGCCACACCAATCACCTCCTCTTCCACCAGCAACCCAGCCACACTCCTCTGAAACCTCTCCAACGCCTCTCCACTCCGCACCCTCCCCCTCCACCCTCCTAGATTCACCCTCCTCCTCGCACTCCTCCTCCCACTCTCACTCCCGCTCTTCCCTTCCTCTCGCAGGCTCACCTTTCCAACCCCTGCTGTCCCCCCTTCCTCATTGATCGTCTCACCTGTTGCCTGCACCTTCTCCTGCAGAACCTGCCAGGAACCATCGTCAGATGCTGCCCGCCTCAGTCCCGACCTTCCCCAGGGATCATCCTGCCAAGCCCATCCCTTCTCCTGCCCCTCCTCCTCCTCCTGCTGCTGCTGCTGCTGCTGCTCCGGCTGTTGCTTCTGAGCCTGTCCGGGCAGGTTCGGCGCAGGCATGGCGTCTTCCGAGCCTGTGCTCGTGGGTGTGGCCGACGCGGACGACAATGAAATGGAGCTGCTGCTGTTGTTACTGCCAGCCTTCGCTGTAGTTACCTGGTTACCACACGGAGAGATTCCTCCAGAAAGACCAGCCATGTCACCCAGGCTGGCAGATTTGTTCGCCAGGAACGAAGCACGGCGGTTACCAGCAGCACGGTTACCATCAGCAGCGGCAAGGAAATTGCCGGCACTAGAAAGGTTAGGTGCTCCCCACGCGTTGGTGCCTGGAGGGACTGTAGAAGGGGAGGTACCGGGGGTTGTAGCAGCAGCTGTAGCAACGGATGTAGCAGCAGCTGTAGCAACGGATGTAGCAGCAGCTGTAGCAACGGATGTAGCAGGGGCAGATGCAAAGGATGTAGCAGCAGCTGTAGCAAAGGATGTAGCAGCAGCTGTAGCAACGGATGTAGCAGGGGCAGATGCGAAGGATGTAGCAGCAGCTGTAGCAAAGGATGTAGCAAAGGATGTAGCAGGGGTTGTAGCAACGTCTGGGGTAGGGGCTGTAGCAGGCGCTGCAGCAGGTGTGGATGTAGAAGGGACTTGAAAAGCACCAGAGAAGCTCTTGCTACTAGGGACGGCAGGAAGACCCCCCTGCATTAAACCTTCCCCACTGCCCCTCCCCCTGCTGCTGCTGCTGCTAGAATCGCTACCTTTTGCAGCAGGTGTTGCTGCGAGGGAAGGAGAGAGAGAACCGTATACAGGAAAAGAAAAGGATGAGGTGACAGCTTGGGCGGGGTTGGGGTTTCTAAATGGGGCTGATGAGTGCGTGTATGTGTCTTCAACAGCAGCAACGGCAGCAGCCGCAGCAGCGTTGACAGCAGCAGAAGCAGAAAAAAAGGCCCCGCTGCTGCCGCCGCCACCGCTGCCGCCGCCGCCGTTGCCACCAAAGTCGCCACCAGCAGCAGCAGCAGCGGCGGCAGAAACAGCAGCAGCAGCACCGAATTGTGAGCTTTCAAAGGGCCGCTTGCGCACGTTGCTGGAACCGGGAAGAACCACGTGCGATCCAAACGGGTTTGTCCGGCTTCTTGAATGATCTCCTAATGCTGCGAGGGCATCGGCAGGTATGGAGGACGCTGGTGCGGAGGTAGCAGAGGAGGGGGAGAGGGGTGCAGAGGCAAGGAGGCGACTCGACAAGGCGGCTCGGGGAGGAATGGAAGGCAGTGAGGGAGGAGACATGGGTATGCTAAAGGAGGGATTCGTTAGCTGTTGAGTGCGCTGAAGTGCCTGTTGCTGCAAACGCTGTTGCTGCTCTAGCTGGTTCTGCAGTTGGGACTGCAACTGCTGCTTATGTTGCAGCTGCTGTTGTTGCCACTGCTGTTGTTGCTTCTCCTGCTGCTGCTGTTGCTGATGGTAATGCTGCAGCAGAACAGCAAGCTGCAACTGTTGAAGCTGCACATTACCTGATAAGCCCTGCCTCTCACCCATCGGTTGATCGCTCACGGCCCGCGCTCCTAACCGCTGCTGCTGCTGCTCCAAAAGCATCCCTTCTCTTTCAGGGGTACTTGCTGGGTTTCCCTGCATCCCCATCTTCGTTACAAACTGCTGCGTTTGTAGGTTATTTGACGCGAAAGCGCGGACACGGCCAGAAGCAATTGCCGAAGACTGGTGCAGTGTGACGGTAGTATCTGCTTCGGCAGCAGGATCAACTCTTGCAACCAGCGGCTCGAAAATCCCACCTTTCTGAACCCTCCCCCCATGACCGCTACCGCCGCTACCTTCACGCGAAGAGATCCTTCGGTCCAGATCTTGCATTTCAGGGCAGGCTGCTGACGTGGAGGGTCCTGGTTGGGCAGCAGCTTTTGCTGCTGCTGCTGCCGCAGTATCCACGTCCCTACTAATACTACTACTAGTAGCAGCTGCTTTCCTCTGCTGCCCTGTCTCCTGTCCAACCGTCTGAGACGGTCCGCCTAAAATCACCTGCTGGCCGCCTTGGTGGTTGTGCTTGTTGGTGTAAGATACCTGCACGTTCTCGTCTGTTACCACTGCCTCTGGATTGCGGTCGATGGTCTTTTTGGCCGGGCAGCTCGCTCCCTTACTAGTGTAACCACAGCGATAGTATGCCCTGTGAAAAAAAAACAATGGAAAAACTGGCGATAAGAATAATTTTTGTTTTTTATCTAGAGAAAAAAATGCGGCATCTATGGAAGTCACTTGGTTTGTCCTGAGGCCAAAAGAATTTAATCAATAAAAGAAAGAAATTAAGAAAGAGATAATAAATAACAACAAACAAGCAAAAACAAGGGCCAGGTTTCCGGCTCGATTTCCGCAAATGCAGTTTCAAGCCATAGAAACTGGAAATCCACCACAGACTGGAACAAGAATGTCTTTCACATATTTCAAAAAATCTCCGTCACTTTTTAACTGACTTGCTTACCTGATGATTCCGGTTCTCATGAGTGGCTTCTCGCCGTACTTGAGCCAGTGATGACCGTCCTTCGCGACGATTTCCACCAATTTCTGCCGATCGCGCCATTCCCTGATTGCCGCCGAATCCGCCAATCCTTCTGTTGCCGGCGGCCCGGAGTCATCATGATCGCTGGTATTGGAATTCATTTTCTAGAAGTTCCCTAGAAGAGAAATTGTTGAATTCAGGCTGAGATTCTGCGCTATCTCATTACAATGTGCCGTCTGCTATTCTTTGCCAGTGTGCAAGTTCTATTCCGAGAAGCAGCTCGCAGTAACGGTGAACGTTGGCTCCAGCTGAAGAAAATGGGAGGAGGTTGTGAGGAGTGATACAAGAAAGCCAACCAACGCACTATTTGAGCATGAACCACTGATACGACCACTGATACAACCACTGATAGGACGAAGGCGGTGCACTTCAGGTAAATTTTGTTTTGGCTGTAACGTGTGATCGAACCTGTCTCTATGTGGTGGAGATCTGGTGCTTCCGCCACAGTCGCCGCTGGCAATGAGGACGCGGGCACTCACACCGACCCGTGAGGGACAGGGATCGATTTTTTAGGTGGTTTCCTGGTTACCATACATGTAATCGAGCTACAATAAATCTCTACAGTACTTGATTGCTACCTCATATGCGATGTTCAATTAGGGCAGCCGATCATCCAGGGATCCACGCCAATCTTTCGATCGGGCGTCAGCGGTCAAGCAAGATCGATCGCTGGTTAGTGAGTCCGTGAAATTTCGTTGTCAAACATCCGCGAAACACAATATACCACACGCGACAAAACAGGGGGCGCAACTCCGTATACCCGGCTGTAAGGCGAAACATTTCGGGGTTTCGACAAAAGGGAAAAAAATCGCTGTTACGCCGGACTGTACACCCCACTGACGATCGTGATCACAAGTGGGGAGCAGATCAGAGAAGTCCAATCATCAAATGAACACTACGTTCGATTAGAGAACAGTGCCTGAGGGTCGGTGAACACAAGAGATCTAACCCCGACCCTCCCGAGTGCCCGCGTCCTGCGGCACGTCCAGGAACATTCACGGGCAGTGCACAGTAAGTTAACGGCTGCAAGTATTTTTCGGGCAGGTCACGCGGCATCTCTGGCGATCACGTCCGTCATCTCTTGCTAATCCCAACGATCACTGGTCGCAACGCGAGGCTCACAACTGGACACCTGTGGTTGGAGTTGTGACCAATGGGAGCACGTACAGAAAACGTCGCCGTCAGGTTCAACAAAAGCCGACAAACTAGTGAGCGACTAGACGGGATAATAATCATTGCAGTCGGCTAGTTTGCCGACGTCCAAACGAGTAAAAGACGAACTGGCCGGCGATTTAGCCGGTAAGTTTTGGAGACCGTCAGAAATCAGCGCTACCTTGGGGATCCGCTCAGCTGCTGCCAGAAATATTATTTGTTGGATACAGAAGCTGTGACCGCAAAAAGAATCATTCTATTCGCGAAGACGGCATCTTTACCAGCAGTCCGTCTTTTTAGCCTTTCGTTCCGCTAGCGGCCGACAATAATGGGCCAACAGAACGTCTAGCTAGACAGCTTGTACAAATACGTGTGGATGCAACTGTTGTACGTCTGTTGACCTGGGTGTATTGGCACCACTCGAGAACGACAAGCTGTCCTCGCTGATGCCAGGTCAAAGCTTTGCAGGGTGTTTGACCCGGACATGACTACAAAGTCGGAGAACGATGAAAAAAACGAACTGGATTTGAGCATAGTGTGTCCAATTGTTATACTAGAATTTGAATAAGGGAAAATATGTCACAGGTAACCATCATGTGACCCGATAACGTCAATGGTAAAAATAAAAAGCGTACGGTAACTGTATCGAGTATCCTGACGGGCTTGGTAAGCGGGGTCACGGAATCAGTCACTAGCAACAACTAAAGAATCACGCGAATGTCCAGTTCGCTAACCAACTAGGCTAAAAGGACATGTTTCCATAGTGGGTCAGCGCACCCATACCCCCCCAGGACGACACCTGTAGCCCTTAGGGAGACCACTTTGGGCCATTCCAGTGTCCACTTCCAACACTCCCCTCACTGGGAGGGCCCACCACTAGGGCACAGGAAGTTGCCAACAGCAGGAATCAAACCCCAGTCCTCCACGCTCACCGCACCATGTCTAGTTCGCTAACCAACTGGGCTAAAAGGGCATGTTTCCATAGTGGGTCAAAGCACCCATACCCCCCCAGGACGACACCTGTAGCCCTTAGGGAGACCACTTTGGGCCATTCCAGTGTCCACTTCCAACAGCGAATGGTAACACATGAAACCCCCTCAAGAAATTCCTAAACCAGGCCGATTTCCCGCTCGCGCCAACTCGTGCGGAGAGGTTTGATGCACGCTTGTACCGTCGAGCCTCCAGCCCACCGTAATCACACCACGACCCGACGTGCTGTACACCCCCCTGCCCGCTACGGTTCCAACCAAGTACAGAACCTTGACCCCATCGCAGCTCTCCAACTTACTTCCCGCCATCAGCTATTCCTCACGCTATTACTAGTAGCTATAGCTTTCGCCAGCTGGCTTCCCGTTCACGCATCCAAGGCGTTCGTTAGCAGCACCTGACGTCTATCAACGGTGCGTGCCTTAGCCCTAAATCCTTTCCCCATCCATTCACGTTTAGTCCATTGTTACTTGAAAATTACTACTAACATGAATGAATAAAGTCGATCAGACCGCTGTCGCGATGCGCCCACAAACCGGCGCGCCGAACAGCGCATCGCCCGATGCATCAGGCCCGATCGTCGCGATATGCATCACGACGATCAGGAGCAGCCGCCGCTGCGATGCGCATTGCGTCCTGCTTTTGGCCGCTCCGCGCATCGCGCCGACCAGGCCGCCGCCGTCGCAATGCGCAATGCGGCCACCCTGCCGGGCGCATTGCGACGATCCGCCACCGTGATCCGCTAACCCGCCGCTCTCATTCCCTCTCACCCACTCTCTTACGCTCTCATTCCCTCTCACCCACTCTCTTACGCTCTCATTCCCTCTCACCCACTCTCATACCCTCTCATTCCCTCTCACCCACTCTCATACGCTCTCATTCCCACTCACCCACTCTCATATGCTCTCATTCCCTCTCACCCACTCTCTTACGCTCTCATTCCCTCTCACCCACTCTCATACCCTCTCATTCCCTCTCACCCACTCTCATACGCTCTCATTCCCTCTCACCCACTCTCATATGCTCTCATTCCCTCTCACCCATTCTCATACGCTCTCACTCCCTCTCACCCACTCTCATACCCTCTCATTCCCTCTCACCCACTCTCATACGCTCTCATTCCCTCTCACCCACTCTCATACGCTCTTATTCCCTCTCACCCACTCTCATACACTCTCATCCACTCTCATCCACTCTCATACGCTCTCAACCCCTCCCATCCACTCTCATCCCCTCTCATCCCCTCTCATACACTCTCATTCCCACTCATCCCCTCTCGTCCTATCTCACACACTATCATTCCCTCTCATTCACTCTCATCTACTATCATACACTCATATTCACTCTCATCCACTCATCCCCTCTCATCCCCTCTCATCCACTCTCATCCCCTCTCATCCACTCTCGTTCCCCCTCACACACTCTCATTCCCTCTCATACACTCTCGTACCCTCTCCTCCACACACATTCCCTCTCATCCCTTCTCTTCCACTCTCAACCCCTCTCATCCCATCTCTTCCACTCTCATTCCCTCTCATCCCCTCTCCTACACTCTAATTCCCTCTCATTCACTCTCATTCTCTCTCATCCCCTCTCATTCACTCTCATTCCCTCTCCTCCCCTCTGATTCCCTCTCATCCCCTCTCATTCACTTTCATCCCCTCTCATTCCATCTCATACACTCTCATCCCCTCTCATCCCCTCTCATCCCCTCTCGCACACTATCGTTCCCTCTCATCCCCTCTCATTCACGTTCATCCCCTTTCATCCCCTCTTATCCCCTCTCATCCCCTCTCATTCACTCTCATCCCGTCTCCTACACTCTCATACACTCTCATCCCCTCTTATCCCCTCTCATCCCTCTCACACACTCTCATCCACTCTCATCCTCTCTCATCCAATCTTGTTCCCCCTCACACACTCTCATTCCCTCTCATCCCCCCTCATCCCCTCTCACACACTCTCGTTCCCTCTCATACACTCTCATCCCCTCTCTTCCACTCTCATTCCCCCTCATCCCCTCTCCTACACTCTAACCCACTCTCATACACTCTCATCCCCTCTCATCACCTCTCTGGTCCTGATTCCCCGTTCCTATCATCCCCTCTCATTCCCCGTTATCTTCCTATGCTCATTATCCATCAGACCTCGTGGCACTTGTGATCAGCGTCATGTCTCACCCACTGCAATCCATGTGAGGTCGGGCCTATGAATTTAGGGTTGGCCTTCGCAGATCCTCGTGGCTTACAGTGCGTGGGTTCGTACACTCCATTGTAATGCCAAATTTCACTCACAAATTGCAATGTCGTGATGTTGATTGATCTCTATTTCATTTGGTGCTCTAGTTATGTCGCTGTGCAGGACTTTGACGTATGCAACATATTCAAGGGGAAAGTTTATCCGTCAGCCGCAGAAGCGAGGGAGGATGTTCGGTTGTATTGTCAGCAGAATATGATTAGGGAGTTCTACTATTATAGTCGCAAAGAACTTATCGAGGTACGGTGCAACTCGATGAGGAATTTGAGTTGGGTTGGTGGAGAGGTAAGCAGCAAAGATGAGTTATGTCCCTTCCGCATTGTCATACAAGGGTCCAAAAACAGAACCATGAAGGTCTCGCTAGCTAGCTTGAGGCATGCCGACCTATGTACATCTGGTGCTAGGAGTGTTAGGAAGATAGCTGTCGGAGTGTGTACAAGGGAGACGGCAAATCACCATGACGATGACGGACCCACCAAGAGTGCCGGATACATCGGTGGACGGGCGCGGGTTGAGGACTGCGAAGGGCGTGGCTGCAAGACACATACTATGCTGGTTGCAGGAGATGGGATGGCGGAAGGAGAAGAGATGAGAGGAGCTTACCTTGTTCATACACCTATGAATGTTATCTAAGGTGACGGTTATGTGGAGATTAACTCTACAACGGTAGTGAGCTAAACTACAGGGTTGGCACGAACTACTAGAGGTGATCGTAGCTTTGCTTGGTTCCTTAGTGCTTGCACATTCACGGGAGAAATTGGCAAGAGTTTTCACTAACAAAGTTGGAATTCAGAATCATTCAAGAAGGAATCACAACAATGACTACATCAGGCACCTAGCAACCCTGCAGCTAGCCTGGTCGACCGCCAGCGCAGCTCGGTCGACCGCCTGCCAGCATTGCGTAGAGGAGTCGTGCCAGCACTGCAGAAGGGCGACCTGCCAACAAAGCAGGTCGACGGCGTGCCCCGTAGAACACAGCAGTGCGCGCGCTCGCAGGTTTGCGCAGACGATTGGCCCGACTTGCCTCGTTGGGCATCCGTCGGCTGTTGTCTGCGCTGTCTGCGCCTGACGAGCCACATCGACTTCGGGATACCAGCCCGAAGTCGACTGCGCCATCGCGATCTCGACGACGTTCGTGAGCCTCTGCAGAACTCGTCGAGCAGGTTACCCTGTCGACATGGTCGACCCCTGGTGCTCTGGTCGACCCTCAGGTGCCTCTGGTCGACCACTGGGTCCCTCTGGTCGACCACCAGGCGCTCCTGGTCGACCACAACTCCCGTCGAGCTACCCCCCTAGTCGACGGACCCCTTCCATCGACCAGGACTGCTTCGTCGACCTCCCGAACGGCCCACCCGTCGCACAGACCAGTCAGTTGTAGATGTCGAGCTCCATGGTCGACAGCAACACCACAGCGGTCCACGGCAGCTCGATGTAACCTGTCGAGCAGCTATCCCACTGTGAACGGTCGGCTGCTACTCCCGTGCATCCGACCAAGTCGTCGGCGTTGCCCAAGCGAGGGCGGGGCCAACACTCCACTCCTGTTAACAGGTTAGAGGGTGGGTAAATTGGTGTTGGTGGTTATTAGGGCGTATTCCTACGGCCTCCTATTTAGAAACCTCCTATCAAGACTGTACCTTTTGCCTGGTAAAAGTAGCGAGAGATTTTGGGTTTAGGGAATTTTCCAGTGAGTAAAAACCGAACAACACTTGTGTTTGAGATAAATATGACAAGTAAAAATTTTGCACACCGAACAACACAAACAATAGAATGATGCAACTAGAAGATGTTAAACATTTGATACTACCTGTTTTAAATGTTATATAGGCACCATACACTGACATTGGAGTATTTTGATACCCAAAGCCCCCACCATTCGTGACGTTGCAGAGACAATGTGGGAAATAAAAGAAAAGGACATGTTATCAAACCAGGTGTAGAGCGCTCAAGAAGTCAATCATGTATCCATGAATAATAACATGCATAGCCCACACGTTCTACTGCAAAGAGCTGTTGCTGTTCTCGTATCCCTGTTGGCATGACGACCTGTTGTGCATACCAGACGCCGACCCCTCGACCTCCCGTTGCAATGGCATGCCTACATGGCTCCAACGTTGCTCCAGACCTGCAACATTCCCATGCATTGGCATTCCCATGCGTCCCCATCGTTGGTTAAGGGCTTGAACGTACCCAAATTGCCCTTGTAACGCATCCTGGGACCCAAGTTGGCCTCTCGTATCCTGCTGCCCTCCCATCCTATGCTGCCCTCCCATCCTATGCTGCCCTCCCAACCCCTGCTTCCCTACCAGCCCCTGCTGCCCTCCCAACCCCTGCTGCCCTCCCAACCCCGCCTGTCCGCCGCTCCCCTGCTGCCCTGTCATCCCATGCTGCCTTGCCATCCCCTGCTGCCCTCCCAACCCCTGCTGCCCCCCCAACCCCTGCTGCCCTCCCATCCCCTGCTGCCCTCCCAACCCCTGCTCCCTTGTCATCCCATGCTGCCCTGTCATCCCATGCTGCCCTCTCAACCCCTGCTGCCCCCCCAACCCCTGCTGCCCTCCCATTCCCTGCTGCCCTCCCAACCCCTGCTCCCCTGTCATCCCATGCTGCCTTGCCATCCCCTGCTGCTCTCCCAACCCCTGCTGCCCCCCCAACCCTTGCTGCCCTCCCATCCCCCACTGCCCTCCCAACCCCTGCTCCCCTGTCATCCCATGCTGCCTTGCCATCCCCTGCTGCCCTCCCATCCCCTGCTGCCTTCCCAACCCCTGCTGCCCTCCCAACCCCTGCTGCCCTCCCAACCCCCGCTGCCCTCCCAACCCCCGCTGCCCTCCCAACCCCCGCTGCCCTCCCAACCCCTGCTGCCCTCCCAACCCCTGCTGCCCTCCCAACCCCTGCTGCCCTCCCAACCCCTGCTGCCCTCCCAACCCCTGCTGCCCTCCCATCCTCTGCTGCCCTCCCAACCCCGCCTGTCCGCTGCTCCCCTGCTGCCCTGTCATCCCATGCTGCCTTGCCATCCCCTGCTGCCCTCCCATCCGCTGCCGCCCTCCCAACCCTGCCTGTCCACCGCTCCCCTGCTGCCAGGCCATCCCCTGCTGCCTTGCCATCCCCTGCTGCCTTGCCATCCCCTGCTGCCCTCGCAACCCCGGGTGTCCTCCCATCCCCTGCTGCCCTCTCAACCCCTGCTGACCTTCCATCCCTTCCAATCCGCTCCCACCATTTTGTTCCAACCGTTCAGCTCCTCCCTGTTGTTCCGTGGTAGACCGAGATCCATATCTGCCTCTGCCTCTCCCTCTCCCTCTTCCCCCTCTCCTCGGCTTGCATTGCGTCCCCTGCCTCTGCCCTTACCTCCAGTTGTTGCACGTTCCTCTCCTGCCTGTCTTGCCACATCACACTGCAGGAATAATCCCTGCATCCGACGTATACGCCCTGCAACCACGTCATCTGCAGTCCTCAACCCTTCCACCCGCTCGGCCACCGAAGTATCCGACACTCGTCCCGCCTGACTCTCTTGGGTGATGTCTATCTGTGTTCCCGCCGAATTATCTGTGAGTGGGCAAGTCTGAGTTCGTGGTTGTGCGTTCACCAAGACCAACATCACCGGCAGTTCCGGGATCCCTACCAAACACCTCGACCAGCGCCCCACCATATGTCACGGCATCACGATCATCCCGTCCCTCCTCATCCACTTCACCAATCCCTTCAACCAAACCGACACTCCCATCATCCTCGCTGCACGACTCCTCCTCCACATCACCTGGCTGTCCTTGTTTACGCATGGCTTGGCACCTAATCCCTCTGCGGTGCGTTCGGTTGCAAGCGTTGCACAGGGCTACATGCACTGCACCATCTGCGTCCGTCATGGTTTGCACTGACAATTGCCCTACGGGGGTTTGTAAAGCTTCCCACAACACTCTGTTGGCTGCACAAACCTCGCAAGTTCGGGCATTATGACCGTACTCACCGCACTTTCCACACTTGCGCAACTTGATTGGGTCCATCTCTCATGTGGACCACATTCTACGCTTTGGTGGCCGACCGGCCTTCTTCTTGTAGACCGGAGGGAGGGTAATGCCGTCAGGGACCACAGAGGTTGGGTCGAGAAGTCGGATCGGCGTTCTGTACACTTGTTGCAGTGCTGAAGTTGTGTGATATTTTTGGATCACTGCGTGCGCCCTCTGAGCACCATTTTTTAACACGGCGAAGATGTGTACGCATGGCAGCCCGTATTCCCTGTTTTTGGGATAAATGGGCGAAGAGGTAAAAGGGATTAACGCATGACTGAAACCAGCAAGAATAGCTAAAACCTGCAGGATTTCATCACACACATGAACACATGGCTTAAAGAAGCCCACATTCAGCAAATATGATTACGGCAAGCATATGTACACACGACACTTTGGCGACCTTATGCCCCTGCATGGGCAAGGTGGAGGGATAGGGAAGGTTCTTTGAGTTGTAGGCAACTAGACATTTCAATTTAAATAGGATATCGCATATCGCCATATTCCCCATGTCGCACGGGGAAGGCTCGTGATAAATGGGACAAATGGGCATTAAGTTAGAGAGGGTATAACGTAGGAGAAAATGGGCATAAGGTTGTAGACGACATGATAATAGCAGCAGGAACGAGATTACATGGCTCTTAGGCCGCCCCAAATACCACTGATGTTGGGATAAATGGGCAGGAAAGGGGATTTCATAAGTTACGCAGACCTATTATGATAACTGGGGGCTGAAATTTAGAGTGGGTAAAATATGAGGGTTGATCTTGCATGACATTTGGGAAGCTGATGAACACAATATTCAAGTATACACCAGTGAAACATACGCTAGGAGTGCTAAAAACAGAACCTAAACACCACTTACTTGGTGTAGCCACATGAGCAGCAGGTGTCTGCAGGATCCTCGGGGTTTGTGGTCACGACTCGCCTCTCGTCCCCTTGGCGTACTATGTACTCGTGTTCCCCCGATTCAGCCACCCTGTATCTTTTGCCCTCATCGCGATTCCCGATGACTATTGGCTTTGTCCTGGGAGGGAAGTCAGCAACTGTCATCTCGGAGTATAATTGGCGCCTCTCTTCGATCTTCGTTGATAGCTTATCTGCCAAGCCTAGCAGCACTTGCGGCGGACTCTTATCCCGCAATCCCGAAAGCGACGCATGGTGAGACTCAACGGGATTGGAAGACAAGCAACCGTAACGCGGTGCTCCAAAATAAGTTTTCGCCCACTTAACACCCAACCCATTGTCCACAAGGTACGAGGATCCACCAGGACATTCCATCTCAATTTTTTCCATTGACTTGAGGTACACAAGCTCCGTCAAAGCCGCGGCAGCTGCAAGAATTCGTCCGTCCAGATCTATCCTGAACTTGTTTTTGAAGTTTCGAACCAAATGGGTGATGCAAAAAGACTCCCGTACAAGGGGGAGACAAGTGGATGTGGTGGATATATATGCCCCTCCCTTATCATGCATCATGACAAAGTCGGAGGAGTTCACCTCCGGAACGGCCTCTAGCAGGAGATTGAATAGGAAGGCGCATGCATGCTTGTTTTCCCCCTCCACCCATGCACATCCCAGCATAACAAGTTGGTGTTGGCTATCCAACATGCATATGTTCAAGGTGTATCCCCCCCATGCGGTCTTATTATGACATCCATCCGCAAAAATGATGGGCAGACAAATCATGACCGCATCTCTCGCCCCTGGAAATATAATTCTTGCACGGTAGAAGAGATTTCCCCGCCTGACCATGGACACGACAGATGAGGGGTTTTTATCCTTGAACTTTCCTAACAGGTCCTCCATGTATTGAAATCCATCGTCTCCACAAAACGGATCCGCATTCCTCAGCTCAAAGAGCACCTCGCGCGCAACCGCGTACGAGCACTCCACACGTAAAACCGCCTTAACATGACTCATCAGCGCATGAGGTCTCATGCCGCCATGCTTTAGCATCTCACGCGCAACCTCTTTGACTTCATCCCTCCGAATCCTTGCAGCTTCGGTGACACACCTATCGGCGTGATCCAAATCAGCCACCGTGACCCGCAGGTTACTATAGCGCGGTCCCCGCATGACAACACGGAATGGACACATCCCTTCTCCGATGTGCACCTCCCCACGAGGCCATACCTTGCCCTCCATGGACTTGCACCACACCTCAATGAGATTCGACCGATTATAGCGGAAATAGGGAGCAAATGTCTGCTGCCTATAGTACAACCGCACCTCCTCCCTTGCTGCTATAGCAGTTGGGTAGAGCTTCCCCTTGTAAATGTTGACAGCATCATCTTCCTGCACATCAAAATTGCTACAGGACCAAAAAATAACGGATGGAGGGATACCACACGGAAGTTTGCAAGTTATCTTATACAACTCTTGTTTGGAAATGAACGATGGCTGATGTTAACAATACACTTTAGCTAGTTTGGACAATAAGACCATGCAGATTCAACATGTGTATTCAACCTCAGCCTCTCACCTTGAACGTATGAGGCGAAACATGTTGTTCCTCACGACCGCCTCAAGCTCTGTTGGACAATAAGACCATGCGGATATAAGGTGTAGTATTGTTCATAAGAGAGAATGGAAGGGGGGAAATTGAGAGCCTTTCAAGAGTTAGGGGACAAGAGAGAATGTCACACAGACAAGAGAGTGTATGAGAGCGTATGAGAGGGGATGAGAGGGGGTGAGAGGGGATGACAGGGAAAGAGAGGGAATGAGAGGGAATGAGAGGGAATGAGAGTGAATGAGAGGGGATGAGAGGGAACGGGAGTATGTGTACGGGGATGAGAGGGGATGAGTGTGTATGAGAGGGGATGAGAGTGTATGAGAGGGGCTGAGAAGGGATAAGAGGGGATGAGAGTGAATGAGAGTGTATGGAAGTGTATGAGAGTGGATGAGAGCGGATTATGGGGTATGAGTGTGTATGAGAGGGGATGAGAGTGTTTAAGAGTGTCTGATAGTGCATGAGAGAGGATGAGAGGAGTTGAGAGTGTATGAGAGTGGATGAGGAGGGATGAGAGTGTGTAAGAGAGTGTATGAGAGTGTGTGAGAGGGGATGAGAGGGGATGAGAGGGGATGACTAGGGATGAGAGTGCACAAGAGTGAAAGGGAGAGTATGAGAGTGTATGAGTGTGTTTGGGAGTGTATAAGAGGGGATGAGAGTGCATATGATAGTGTATGAGTGGGTATGAGTGGGTACGAGAGTGTATGAGAGTCTATGAGAGGGAATGAGATGGGATGAGAGGGGATGAGAGGGTATGAGAGTGAATGAGAGTGTATGATAAGGGATGATGAGAGTGTATGAGAGTTTAGGAGAGTGGATGAGAGTGGTTGAGAGTGTATGAGAGTGTATGTGAGGGGATGAGAGTGTATGAGAGTGTATGAGAGTTAACGAGAGGGGATGTGAAGGGATGAGAGGGGATGAGAGTGTTTAAGAGTATCTGATAGTGCATGAGAGAGGATGAGAGGAGTTGAGAGTGTATGAGAGTGGATGAGGAGGGTTGAGAGTGTGTAAGAGAGTGTATGAGAGTGTGTGAGAGTGTTTGAGTGGGGATGAGAGGGGATGAGAGGGGATGAGAGGGTATGAGAGGGGATGTGAGGGGATAAGAGGGGATGAGTGCTCATGAGACTGTATGAGAGTGTATGAGTGTGTATGGGAGTGTATACGAGGGGATGAGAGTGTATATGAGTGTATATGAGTGGGTACGAGAGGGTATGAGAGTGTATGAGAGGGAATGAGATGGGATGAGAGGGGATGAGAGGGGATGAGAGTGAATGAGAGTGTATGGAAGTGTATGAGAGTGGATGAGAGCGGATAAGGGGGTATGAGTGTGTATGAGAGGGGATGAGAGTGTTTAAGAGTGTATGATAGTGCATGAGAGAGGATGAGAGGAGTTGAGAGTGTATGAGAGTGGATGAGGAGGGTTGAGAGCGTGTAAGAGAGTGTATGAGAGTGTGTGAGAGTGTATGAGATGGGATGATAGGGAATGAGAGGGGATGAGAGGGGATGAGAGGGGATGACCAGGGATGAGAGTGCACGAGATTGAAAGGGAGTGTATGAGAGTGTATGAGTGTGTATGGGAGTGTATAGGAGGGGATGAGAGTGTATATGATAGTGTATGAGTGGGTATGAGTGGGTACGAGAGGGTATAAGAGTGTATGAGAGGGAATGACATGGGATGAGAGGGGATGAGAGCGTATGAGTGTGTATGAGTGTGTATGGGAGTGTATAAGAGGGGATGAGAGTGTATATGAGTGTATATGAGTGGGTACAAGAGGGTATGAGAGTACATGAGAGGGAATGAGATAGGATGAGAGGGGATGAGAGGGGATGAGAGTGAATGAGAGTGTATGGAAGAGTATGGGAGTGGATGAGAGCGGATTAGGGGGTATGAGTGTGTATGAGAGGGGATGAGAGTGTTTAAGAGTGTCTGATAGTGCATGAGAGAGGGTGAGAGGAGTTGAGAGTGTATGAGAGTGGATGAGGAGGGTTGAGAGTGTGTAAGAGAGTGTATGAGAGTGTGTGAGAGTGTATGAGATGGGATGATAGGGGATGAAAGGGGATGAGAGGGGATGATAGGGGATGACCAGGGATGAGAGTGCACGAGAGTGAAAGGGAGTGTATGAGAGTGTATGAGTGTGTATGGGAGTGTATAAGAAGGGATGAGAGTGTATATGATAGTGTATGAGTGGGTATGAGTGGGTACGAGAGTGTATGAGAGTGTATGAGAGGGAATGAGATGGGATGAGAGGGGATGAGAGGGGATGAG